ACGGATGAGCAGAACCAGTTTTCAAACCAAAGACGGAAGCTTCCGCTTTCCCTACCCTCACTCCCCTCCCTTCTATTCCCAGGTCAATCGGGTTTGTGAGGGCCCCCTAGGCCACCAAAAGGAACCAGGAACTGGAAAGAACGGGTTGCAAACCGGGGCCATGCCGGGAATAGCTGCTCGCCGTCCGCGAGAGGTCTAATTGCGGCTATTCAGGGGTCTAGAAGGGGCCAACGGCCAACACGACAATGAGTTTCTCTCTGTTGCCCCTGGGGGATCACACGTACACTGCATCGACGGGGGTAAAAAATGGCCGCGGGGGAGTGGAATTAACGAATTCGGACTGGCATTTAAGGCAAAACAACAGGGTGCGGAGAGAGAGAGAGAGTAGAGATGTTTTTATTCAGATACGATATGGGAAATTTTGCATTTAAGGCAATTTGCATATCGTATCTAGGTTCTAGCCGGAGCAATCGAGATACGATTATCGTATCTGGGATCGGCCAGGCTCAATCCAGATACGATATATCGGAATAACATTTGCATATCGGAATAAGCAGAAAATCCATTATTTCCGTGAATACTTGCTCCGTATGGTCTGTCTGCATAAAAATGCATAAGGTTAGACGTTTCCGAGACAAGATTGTTCGATTTGCATCCATTTTATCGCCTACCGAGCGCCGTAATTTCCCTTAATCCGATATGCAAAAGTTATTCCGATAGTATCGTATCTCGGTGAGTCGGACTCTAATTCAGATACGATTATCTATATCGCATCTAGGATTTTTCTATTCCGATGGCTTATTCAGATGCGATATATCTGGATGCATATCGTATCTGAATAAAAACATCTCTAAGAGAGAGAGAGAGAGTGTCGCAAAAGCGAGGGACTCGAAGATCGAAATCGCTTTTTCATAGTTTTTGAAGTATTTGAAGATTTGGGAAGGCAAACAGCCTTGCAAAATACGCCCTGGAAAGATCCAGCTGAAGATATCGACAGCCACGTCTGACTCCAAAACATGCCTGTATGAATCTTTGAATTTTTTCATAATAGACGAAGAGTGGACAGTAAATATAAAATTTCAGCGACGATAAAATAATTTTTATGTTTCTTTGGCGCAAATCGTAGTCCCTGCAAGAGGGCGATTTCTGTACCTGTCAGTTCCTCCAGAACATGATTTTTTTATTTTAATACCCTCAGTTTGCGCTCTAGCGATCAAAAATGTCGTCACTCAAAAAAGCCACAAAAATTCCAGTGTTTCGGATTCAACGGACAATCCATTAACGTCGATGGATACCGTACCGCCTAAATTGCACCTGACTACGTTGAATTCGAAATTACCCCTAGCGCAGGTGCAACGTTTTCAATCCTGCGGTTCCAAGCAACACTTCTCTTTGCAGAACCCATCAACCATGGGTGACCTCGGAATTGGTTGATTCTCATGAACAAAACAATAGGTGACGATTTACACGTCTTCATGCAGTTCACCTGTACCGCTATGAATTCTGCCGATCATCCCCCATCCCATCGAAAATCCCTAGAGGACATTGTGCCAAATTGTGCTGATGTTTTCCAGCTGATGTGCCCGATCGGCCTGCTCACAGTTTAATTAAATCTGGCGAAGGGACCAACTGGCCGCCGAAAATGCATAACAATTCCGCAGAAAGCGTCCCTTTTTGGAAAGGGATCGGCAACTGGCCAAAATGGAAATCTCAGATGTTTCAGTAACTGTTATAATGGTGGTAAAATATATAAAACAAAAACTAAACCAGTAATCAGTATTGAACACCTAAAATATCGTAAAATTTAAAATCTGAAAAACTCCAAAAGCAAAAACAAAGTCCGATCCATATTGTCAAGTCTCTATGTACCGTGCGTAATAAGTGTCTTGCGTAGGGACTTTAATGCTTGGGTATTTATTGAAAATGGAACATTATGATACAGAAATATGTTGCTCCACTTTTTGTGGTGTTGCTCACTTGCGGCCAAGAAGACCACCACCTCCAAGGATACCGCCAAGAAGACCACCACCACTTCCGCCAGATCCAGATCCAGAAGATCCTCCTCCCAATACACCACCGATAATTCCATCCAGAAGGCCAGCATTATCAGCCAACTGCAGGTTAGAGAGAAGAGCACCATCTTGACCGGCAAGGATGGCCTGAAATGGGAAATAATAGAATGATATTCATTAATGGAAAAATACCTTGAGGAGATTGGAACCGAGAAGCTGCTCAAGGAGACTGTCGATCACTCCGGGAGCTCCAGATGGACCGCCAATCAGACCATCAAGAAGAGGATTCCCATTGGCACCAAGGAGATGACCAAGAAGACTACCGTTACCCTCCAACCAGCTGGGAAGACTAAAAGAAACAAGGTATCTAGTTCCGAACAGCTCCAACTTACGTCGGCAACAGGTTGAAGATGTCGCACACCAGATTGCTGACAGTGTCAAGAAGTCCGGATGGAACTTCGGACATTACTGGCGAGATGACGTGGAGAATGTTGAGGCACAAGTTGGTGAACAGGAAGTTTTGGCCCGAGACGATACCTGCGAAACATTATTATAATACTAGGAGGGTATGGCATACCTGAGAGCAGATATTGAACATCAGATTCGAGGACAAGTCCACATGGACTGTTGGGGACGATGAGGAGCGATGGGATATTGACGGTGCCCTTCAGAATATCAAGATGTTCGAGGGTGTAGGCAGAGACTGTCTCGTTGCCAACTTGCATTTGGGTCTTGTTGAGGATACGTACTTCCGAGACTGAAAATGATGATGATCTTCATGTTATAACATAAACTTACTCAATCAAGGCACAAGCCAGCGCCTTGACATCCCGGAACGGGAGAAGGACAGGTACAGTCCGAGTTGTGATGAAGCTCCTCCACCAGTTTCTCCAGATGATCCACCGGATAGAGCATCTTGCTGACCAAAAGCTGCAGAAGAGAAGAGCAGCGCCACAGCCACCATCAAACGTTGGGAAGCCATCTTTTTTCTGGAAGAATTTGATAACTGTATTTTGATACTGTAGAAAGTAGTAGAAGGGAAAGGCTGATGCTCTACCGTCCAAATCCGATGCCTTTTATACCAGATTCACTGACCAATATAACCCCGACGTGACCGATGTTTGTCATAGCTTTAATTGTGTCGAATCGAACCGTTCCGATCAAAATTTGGATGTTTTCGCGTTGTCTGAACGTCAATTCAAGGCGACAATAGGCGACGTGTGTTCATTTGGAGTCAATATTACTCTTTTTATAACTCAGGTTTGTTGGCAACTGGTTTTTTGTTGCTTTTTAAGGTTGCGGATTAAAATGTCGCCTATTGTCGCCTTGAATTGACGTTCAGACAACGCGAAAACATCCAAATTTTGATCGGAACGGTTCGATTCGACACAATTAAAGCTATGACAAACATCGGTCACGTCGGGGTTATATTGGTCAGTGAATCTGGTATAAAAGGCATCGGATTTGGACGGTAGAGCATCAGCCTTTCCCTTCTACTACTTTCTACAGTATCAAAATACAGTTATCAAATTCTTCCAGAAAAAAGATGGCTTCCCAACGTTTGATGGTGGCTGTGGCGCTGCTCTTCTCTTCTGCAGCTTTTGGTCAGCAAGATGCTCTATCCGGTGGATCATCTGGAGAAACTGGTGGAGGAGCTTCATCACAACTCTCGGACTGTACCTGTCCTTCTCCCGTTCCGGATGTCAAGGCGCTGGCTTGTGCCTTGGATTGGAGTAAGTTTATGTTATAACATGAAGATCATCATCATTTTCAGTCTCGGAAGTACGTATCCTCAACAAGACCCAAATGCAAGTTGGCAACGAGACAGTCTCTGCCTACACCCTCGAACATCTTGATATTCTGAAGGGCACCGTCAATATCCCATCGCTCCTCATCGTCCCCAACAGTCCATGTGGACTTGTCCTCGAATCTGATGTTCAATATCTGCTCTCAGGTATGCCATACCCTCCTAGTATTATAATAATGTTTCGCAGGTATCGTCTCGGGCCAAAACTTCCTGTTCACCAACTTGTGCCTCAACATTCTCCACGTCATCTCGCCAGTAATGTCCGAAGTTCCATCCGGACTTCTTGACACTGTCAGCAATCTGGTGTGCGACATCTTCAACCTGTTGCCGACGTAAGTTGGAGCTGTTCGGAACTAGATACCTTGTTTCTTTTAGTCTTCCCAGCTGGTTGGAGGGTAACGGTGGTCTTCTTGGTCATCTCCTTGGTGCCAATGGGAATCCTCTTCTTGATGGTCTGATTGGCGGTCCATCTGGAGCTCCGGTGATCGACAGTCTCCTTGAGCAGCTTCTCGGTTCCAATCTCCTCAAGGTATTTTTCCATTAATGAATATCATTCTATTATTTCCCATTTCAGGCCATCCTTGCCGGTCAAGATGGTACTCTTCTCTTAACCTGCAGTTGGCTGATAATGCTGGCCTTCTGGATGGAATTATCGGTGGTGTATTGGGAGGAGGATCTTCTGGATCTGGATCTGGCGGAAGTGGTGGTGGTCTTCTTGGCGGTATCCTTGGAGGTGGTGGTCTTCTTGGCCGCAAGTGAGCAACACCACAAAAAGTGGAGCAACATATTTCTGTATCATAATGTTCCATTTTCAATAAATACCCAAACATTAAAGTGCCTACGCCAGATACTTATTACGCACGATACATCTAGTTTTAAGAACAGGAATCAGGGGACATTTGAGTTTTCATATTTTAGCGCAGCTATTCAGCTTTAGATTAACTTACAGCTTAAGCTTGCCCTCGCTCTCTATCCGGTCTTGTTATTCCCGCAAAGATGTCCGGCAGATGTCCCCTATCCGTCTTTCGTGCTATCGACTACATCCAACAGCTATGGACCATTCAAAAAACATTACTATTTTCATGGCGTCATTGTTTATTTCGGCGCTGCCATGTCGATTCCGGCCCGTTTTCCAATACAAAATACCTTCGAAATAGTTTACACGTTTACAATTTTAGAGAATGATGGAAAATGATGCAGTAGGCATCGACTTTGGTAGTTTCCGCACGAAAATTGGCATATTTCGCGCCGGAAATTATGAAGAAATTCTGGATGAGAAAGGTAGGCGAACAAAATGATATTTGAAATTGTTTTCAGGGCATCCCTGGGATTCTTATGTAACATTTGAGCCGATTGAAAACTTTTACGGGTGTGAAGCTTTACAACGGCAGGGTGATAGCTTAGCTTCTACGATTTATGGTGAGTCAAGCACTTTCAAATCAATCGTTTTCGTAATTTAGCATGGAAAAACCTGATCGGGTGTTCGAGTGAGGATTTGACGGCGGTTTTGGAGTTGTCAACAAAGTTATTTAATGTAAGTCTGACGGAAAATGCCTATGAAAACCGCGATTTTATGGTGAAACATTTCAGAAAACGCCGTCTTCAGTTTCGACCATCGAAATTGCGTGTGGTGGTTATTCATTTTCTCCAGATGAAATCACAACAATGTTTTTTGCCCATATCAAGGTAAGAACAAAATAGCATTTAGCTATTGATTACATTACAGGAACGAATCGACCATCTCTACCCGCCAAGCAATTGCTCCAAAAATGATGAAGCTCAGATTTCGAAGACACGAAGAAAGTGTGTCATCACGGCACCAGCGTTTTTGACGGATACAAAGCGACAGGTAAAACAATAAAGCTAATCTAAATAGGGTTTTGTATTCCCTATTGATTCCAGGTGTTGAAAAGGGCCCTTGAAGACGCTGGCTTCGAAATCCTTCAAATAGTCGATGAACCGACAGCCGCCGCAATTTCTTATGGCTTTTCAAACACTGCAAAATCTACCAAAAACGTTCTATTCCTCGACCTTGGTGCAACAAATTTTAATGTCGGCATTTTTGCCCTGCACGGGAATCGAATAGTTACCAAGGCGATACATGGGCTGCAACGCGCTGGGGGTGAGGTAATTTTCGGAAATTTTTATCGTGGAACCGAATCCTTAGGCATTTTCATTACCGATTGAAAACGACCTGATCACGAGGATCTGGGCAGTGAATGGGGGAGAGAAGTTGAACATAGAAGAGGAGTGGCTCGTAAAAAAAGCGGCTTTCGAGGCGGTCGAGGAGCTGATAAGAGGAGATGAGGTTGGTGTTTTTGAAAACGAGCGGGCTTTGAAGCTCGGTTTAAAGAAAGCGCCAAAGCGACCCCGGTCAGGGGATTTTGTATAGGGAAGAAATTAAAATCAGGGATGAAATTAAAGTATCTGTCATAGACAAAAACGTACGTTATCTTTTTCAGTGCGTCATCAATTACCCGAAAGCACAGATCGCTTACAAGCTTGACCGTCACCAAATCGAAATATGGTGGGAGACTTTGTTGGCAAAACTCGAAGATGCCGTTATCGAGGCTAGTTTCTTATTTGAAGTGACACATCAATTGTTTAGATTTTAGAAGAATCGAAGATATCATCTGAAAACATTGAAGGAATCCTTCTTATTGGTCACTTCTCCAAACTAATCAATACTTTTGGAATTTCGAACAACATTTTTGGACGTAGCGGCACGATAGTTCCGACCAATGACTCGATTGCACAGGGCGCTAGTATATTCGTAAGTTTTCACAACACGGCTCCATCTTATTATGGTGTTTGCTAGGCCGCCCATCTCCATTCAACTGAAAATCCCAAGAGCTACTCTAGAGTCCACGAAGATCCGTATATACGAGATTTGGAATTGGAAGAAGCTAAAGAGCGTAAGTAGGCAATGCTTGTTCTAATAGCAATCAATAAAATTCAGCGGATTTGATCGATTGGAGGTAAACGCTTGTTTGTTTTTTGTACCAGCCTGTGGTTATAGCTTTTCTTGGCAAGACATGCAGCCCGAAAATTTGTTTTTCAGTGCCTGAAGTCCTGCGCCCAAATTCTAGCCTCGCTTTTCCGACGGAGCCGCTGAATCTGGCCGAGACTCGCTTTTAATGCATTTTTTACTGTATTGACTGTACCTCTCTGCGATGATTATTGGTGTTAGTCGAATTGAGTGTGTACATAAACGTGACATCGTCAAGCCACCCCAAGTTGTGCCACACCTTATATGAGTAAACTTTTCCCTTATTTATTGCAAGAGATGCGCTCTTTTTTGCAGAACGGCCCGATCCGTGTCTCTGATAAGGCCACCAAACAGGCTAGTAAGCCAGCCCCCACCATTCTGGACTTCCAATTCTGGACCGTGCCACGCACAAATATTTTTTTCTGCCTGACATAGCAAGTAGCCACCGGAAGTGTTGCGCGTTGAACGATGTCTAATCAGGACTTTATATGGACACAAGCTGAAACACGCTCTGTCGGCCAAGCACTTATCGATTATTCCGGCGTACTTACGTTGGAAATTGGCAATGAGATCACGAAGATTAACGCGTGGCAGTTCGATGGACCGCTTCCAATCCAGTTAGCCAGGGGTAAGTGTTACATTTTGCCGATTTGCAAAACAATGTTGAAAACCATTGCGTCGCGCCTCACGTGAAAGATTCTTCTTTTGCTGCTCGAACTCGTCAGCGAACACGGTTATGTAACTTACTAGAATGAGGCTATTTATTTTGTCGGGTATGCAGATAAACGCTCCTGGACGTGCGAAATAGTGTAAAACAGGCTGTTACTTTGTGAAAATAAAAATTTTGAAGGTGCTCTTCGCAAAAGGTTTACAATAAGGATAATTCGGAGTTTCTGCAAAAAGTGTTTCGACGGGGTCTGGTCAGGCTGGTGACAACGAATTCCGGGGCGGGGGGGGCTGTGACACCACCGTATGACAGGTGTGCAGGGGCGTATCCAGAAAAAAATTTCGGGGGGCCCCGAAAAACTCAAAAACCAACGAAAAAACAGCGCCCAGGCGAAAAATTTTGGAAAAAAGGCTACCTAGCTCTATAAATAGCAGTAAAAACGTGAAAAAAAATAGCGCCGCAGGCAGCAAAATTTTTGAGAAAATAAAAATCATAAGGGTCCACCCTTATGAAATTTTCTGGCCCCGGCCGATTTCGAGGGGAGTGGGGGGCGGGCCCAGGGGGCCCACCTTACGCGCATGTGTGTGACCTTGTTCTTAAGTAGATCAACGCTTCGCTTTTGAAAATCGTTTTCCGCGACCCTTAAAATTCCCGAACTTTTGCATTTTTGCCCAATGGTCCTGAATTTTTACTGGGACTTTTCCGGACTCTAGCAAGTGGGAATCAGCGCAAAACCGCCCAGATGCTTGTCGAATCCTTGCAAGACGTCGCTATCTTTACCCAATACGTAAAAGGGGTTGGGGGGCACCACCATCAAAAATCACCATTTCGAAAATCAATATTTAGGAATTTAGCCCATTCCCCAGTCGCAGAAAAGTCTAGCTTTGTTTGGCTGGATGAACTTCGAAAGTCTATTTTGCCACTGGACATATAGTTAATTTGATTATAGACACCACTAAAACCCTTTCTATTACATCACTAGTCATATTCGTCAGATATTATCCGACAGCGCCGCTAAAAATCGTAATTTTTCGAGATTGCAAGTTGCTTTTTACCATGTCAAGACAGGGCTTTTCGAACTCGAGATTTATCGAAATGGTGATTTTCGTAATGGTGATGTTTGAAGTGAGGTCTTTTCGAAGGGGCGACTTTCGAAATGGCGATCTTTGCGTGCTTGATTTTCGACATCGTGTATGGGAATCGCGCTGGCCTTCGGCTCCTCCAATTGACTTTCATGGCGAAACGGTTGATCATGATTGATCAGTAGTAGATTACAGTTGAATCCAATTACAGAACTGCGGATCCCCACCTACATATGCTTTGACAAGGATGCCGGAATCCGCGTCGGGACGGAAGCCAAGGCAGCACAGAAGAAGAATCCTGATTATACAGTGCACGGTATCAAGCTTTTACGTCACAATCCCCCGGAATTCAGGTTTTATAAATCTGATCGGTCTGGAAAAAACTGACATGATGGCCATTGTCACAGTCAACAACCAACTATACAAGGCCAAGAAGAGGGACGGACCGTTTTTCATAACCGTCACTGATAACAAGAAGCTATACAAAAGCCTGCCAAGGAAGGAGAGGCGTCTTAAAAAATGGTTTCGTGTATTGCAAAATCATGTTCAGAGCGATGCGGCTCCATTGAACCATAGCCTGGACTTATCACTCCCATCGGCAAGCTTCCTTACACTTAACATTGACTGGTTAGACCCCAAATACGTGGAAAGCAGCGATGCAGCGGACGAAACAACATCGAACGAAAAGTTCAGCCTGCGTCAACTAAGTCAGAAGCTCACTAACCAATTGAAACTTTGGGAAATCAACGTGAGAAAAAAGATCTCTAAGTCGCGTGGAAAAAAGCACGTGCGCCGGGTGAACGAGCCTTCAAATAACAAAGTTGAAGCGGCGTTTCTGATGGAACCGACAGACTTTTTGCGGCGAGCCCCCAGTAAAATCAGCATCGATGATACGTCTAGTGATGACTCGGACGCAGAGGCTGCAATTAGAAAAAACATGGAATTGCTGAAAAGGGCGGGTACTTCGCAAAGGCAAGTGTTTCTTACGTTGGCGCTTTTTGTTGCTCGAATTGGGCGTCCGCCGCCCATTGGGCGTTTGAGTAACCACGAACTCCGATCGCAAACAATCCAATTTTCTGGTCATCAGATTACAATCCTAAATTTCAGCTTTGCCCGCAAGGACTACGAGGCGGCAGGAGGGGTCGTCAGAAATTTTGTTGGAGGAGTCGAAGGGACATTGGAAGCTCTCGGTCTCACAAGCACTCAAGAATTCGGCCAAACTGGTAAGGGTAGTACGCTCACAAATGTGAGCACAGGGGGGCGAAAACGAAACTGCCACTCGGCATTTGGCCGTCCGATCGGGACCAAATTTTTACCAGCGATGGCCCGATAGATTTTACCCGATAAAGACTACTTACAGCCAAATTTTCTCAGCAAAATCAAGTAAAAGCTGGTTTTTGGAAGTTCCTATTCTCAATTTGCAAGGATTGGAGCACGCTCTAGTCGCCTCCTCCCCCAAAAAAAACGATAACCTACGAAAAAAAATTCCCAAAGTAACCAAATTTCATAGTTCCTGCAAAGCACGAAAAGGCAGTCGCCTCAGATGAAGCTGCTGGACCATCAACATCGGCATCTAATAACGATGATCCGTATGTGTTTTTGAATCGATATTTCGTCTTACAGGAATTGTACGAGGGTTGGCATGGTGTTTTACCGTAAGCTTTCGAGCTAACCATCCTAGGTAAATTCGGCTTTTACGGGTGTCTTGCAATTTTGGGGTTCAAGGTGGGTCCTCCCGAGGTATAGCGCCCCAGGCCCGATCATAACTTCTTTTGAAACTTCATATTGGACGAGCCGGCTGGTTTTCAAACCGAGTCGGCTTGTCGCTCAGATATAATTGGTACACTTATGGCACATAGCAGCAAAAACTGAGCAACGTTGATTTTTCAGGAAAAAGCCCGTATATCTGAAAAAATTTGATGGAGGAGTCGGGGGAACCGAGGCCGACCTGGGTGTGGAAAGGAACCGACTCTTGCTTGAAATTGGTCAGGTCTAGAAGGATCGAAAAACCATCCGTTCTAGATGATATCGAGAGGTATGGAGCCAGAATTTTTGAGGAAGATCGCGAGCTTGATCAACATCTGCGAATAGCGTCAATGCGGTCATTTGATCCTTTATTAATTGATTGTGGGCCCGGCGGAGACGATATCAATGTCCAGACACTGATACAGATCTTTGTCGAAGACATTGTGGTTGGTGTAGAATGGGATCCCACCACTGGGTTCCTTACAATTTTACTTTACAATTACAATTTTATAATTTTTAGGATTCGTTGGTGGATTCATTCGATAGGGCCGGATTGATTTTGCCCGATTCCATGGGGCTTCGAGGCATAAACACTATCGTTTTTTCTCCTTCTCATTTTTCTGACTATCAAAATGAGGTGCGCCCATCTAGTTATAGCGTTACTATAGACTGACTGCCGACCTTGCAGCTGCTTTTCGAGGCCGTTAGGGACGGAGGCCTAGCCATACATCCCATGTCGAACCACCAGCTATTATGCGAAAGCAAATTCCGGATTTTAACAAATGTCGATGCTGCGCGACTTCCAGTAGAGGCACTGATTATTGACATTGGCATGCAAAACTTCCAATTGTCCTACCTGGATCGAAATGGCAATTGCAAAGTACGGGGTGGTAAGGCCGGATTTGGCGTCGAGGTATCAAATTTCCGACACCGTCAACGCGTTCAAAAATGTTTTCAGCGTATGATGGTTGCACTAGAAAACGCGATCTTGGTTTCCGAATGGCCACGCAATCAAGGGTATGCTCAGCGCAGCTCAAAGGAGAGATTAACTGATCGGGCCGAAGCTTTGCGTGTCTTCCAAGCGTTGACTGTCCAGCCCTCGGTAAAGAAGGATGGAAAGGCAAACTTCAACATCAACTGGGAGGTAAGGGCAAGCACCTTCAATTAAACACAATGACTAACAGACTGTCATAGTAAGATAGCCAGTCATAGTTGATACTTTTTTTATTGGCGAATTTTTAGGGTTTTTCCAAGCAGTGCCCCGTGACTTTCGCGGATCTAAAGGACGCTTGTGAGATGACTCTCACAATGATGAAAGAATTCGTGCAACAGGCAGGTTTATAAGATCCATAAAAAGACGGTGGGACCGGAGTAACCACCAGACGGGAGGCTTACAAGCTTGTTAGCGGACCCGATGTTTCGGGGGGAGGGGGTACAAAAAAAAATTTGGATCAGAAATGCAAGCAAAACGTTTTTAAAAAGCATACAAAGTAACCGCGCTGCAAGTTTATATTTTTCGGTCCTCTAATGAATGGCGTTCTCAAAATATTAAAAAATGCAAAATGCCGAAGATCCGGTCCCCCACTATAAAAGTTTCTGTAAAACTTTTATAGTATATTTTTCGTGCTGTTCGTTCTGTCGATTGGCGTTAAAAATATCGAAAATTTCAGAATTTGTCTTTAACGCAGCCCGTTATCCTATGCGCTCTTTTCAGTGAGCAAACAATTTTCGGGTATGAGTAGAAAATTTCCATTATACATTAGGATTTGGGTGAGGGATATAGGGCCGAAAGTTTATGTTAATGATGCAAAGTCTAATAGGAGCCGAAAAAAAATGAAGTGAAAGCGTTGGAAAACTGTATTTTGCAATAACTCGAAAACTACCTTACCAATCTCGCAGAAGGTTTGCTAAAGATAAACATTTTAAATGGCTTTGCGCACCTTCGTTGAGAATTTAACGTCGATCAGGCCCGAAATGCCAAAATGACGGCGTGATCTTTTTATTAGGACACCCTGGATACTCCAATCAAATTATAAGGCTTTTGTTAGTTTCTTGATGACAACGGAATTGACGGCGCAAAAGAGCGGCTTCATATTGAACTCATCGGCGGATACTCGAACTCTATCATTTTTCACGAAATGTGTCGAGAAGTCATGCCGGCATGTGAAATTTTCCACAGAGGGTTGGTAAAGGCGAGTCAACCGGAAACGATCAATGCTTATGCTTTTTTTCAGGGGCTCGCTAAACTACCATCCATTGATAGCTTTGACGGGCCAAAGCCAAGCGATCATAAACCTTTTCAACGTTATGGAAGATCTGCCACGGCGCAATAGAATCTATTACGCTACCAAATTTGATACTGTTACGCTGCAAAAACCCGATGATTCCATGCCAACTTTATTTTAATAAACTTTCAAAAAGTACTAGGTGACTACATAGTCTTTGGGAAACACTAGATGTCGTCTCACCTCTCATGACCCAAATTTGACTCTTTATTCGCACCAGGGAAATCTCGCACTAATGAAATCGTGTTTTGGGGGGTTAATGTGGGAACGGGGGATGAATAGAATGGGAGCATCGGATCACAAGTATCGAATAATCGTCGTGGGTGGGGCTCAAAAGAACTTGATGCCGCTCTTCCGGATCAGATCCCAGTCGCACACCATCATATGGTCGAGGCGACCGTCTTTGAACGCTTGATACTGATCAGTCCAGAATTCGAGGGATGGCAACGACTTGAAAATAGCTTTGTTTCGTTAGAGTAGTTTCGATACCTTTGTGTGGCACTCGAGCATGGCCTTCTGATCCCAGACCAGCTGTTTGAGCAGCTGCTCCTCACTCGGCTGCGTGATGGCCTGCGCGTACTTGTAGTTCTAAAAACGACATGTTGTAATTTGTAGCCCGGGCCTTAAGATACCTGCTTGACCTCGTTGATCTTGGACGTGCACAGGTCGACGCTCTCGGGGGTCATTTCAGGGAACCATTCGCGGGTGCGGCACAGCCCGGAGGAGACCACCTAGAAGGGGGGAGTACTACGGTACTAGCAGTGAAGGTTTGCAGAAAATTCATTTATTGCAAAAGGTCACCTTATTCCAGAGCTCCTTGACTTCGTGGCCGAGGTACAGTTGGTTGTCGGGGGTGTACGGCTCGAGGCCGAGGGACTTCTGAAGTAATAATATTTCTTGAAAAAAATTAGTTAGTTTGCCTGCTGGGCCTGTAGCTTGTCCTGCCACGCCTGCAACGACTTCCAGCGGGGCGAGTGATGGACAATGTTGTTCCAGATCACCTGAAAATGTAGCGTTTCTATGCGTTTTGGTGTTCATGGGAATTACTAAAGACAGAGAGAGATAGAGAGAGACAGAGAGAGAGAGAGGGGGAGAGGAGAAAGAGAAAGATAGATGTCGTATCGGGCGAGGGAGCCTGAGTTCTTAGGGCATCAGCGTGGTCCCCTTACCTCAGCCATTGATCCGTTCACCCGCGCATCATGCGTCACCTCCGGAATTTCAAGGCCCTACAAAATTCAATGATTTTAACGTTCCAAAATGAACCTGTAGACCCCTCGTAAACTGGTAGGCCGACTCAGAGTAGCATTCTGAAAAATAGCCGCCCTCCAAGATGCCGAGCACGCGATCCGGGAATGCCGCGTCGAGAAGGCGCGCAATGTGACCATAGCTAGAAAGGTTCGGGATACGGTAAGTTGAGGGGGAGGACGTTTAGGAAAAGCTGAAAACCAATTTACCCATGCGCCTTGATCGCCTGGCCCAACGTCAGCATGATATCGTAGTAGCCAGCGTCGAAGCCGGCCGAGACGAGAACGAGGTCTGTGTCCCATTCCTAAGCGCTCGTTTTGAAGGCGCGATAGGGAGAGAGAGAGAGAGAGAGAGGGGGGGACAGTGAGACTGCGAAAACGGCTGTCCAACCTTGAGAACAGGCATGATGACATGGTTGAACGCGGCCAGATAGTCGCTCTCCGTGTTCATGTTGCAGTTGAGGGGGAAGAACATCGAGTTATCTAATCAAAAATGTGTAGAAAAATCTAAAGGATTGTTACCTTTGGTGTTGTAGTCAAAATCGCGGCTGTACGGCCAGAAGAGACCCCTGAAAAAAGTGGCCGGAGAAGAAACTGGATAGGTTCCGTTGCCTAAAGGGAGGGTGACAGTCCAGATTCCGACGATGCTGATGTCACCATCCCTTTAAAAACTTAAACTTACCTATGATAGGAATGGAAAGAAACGAGCATGATCCTCGGATCATCCTTGACGGAGTAGTAGGTGCCGTTGGCCGGGTGGTAGTCAAAGTCGATGATCGAGACCTAGAGGTCGATTTATAGTCTAGAGAGTTCAAGCTCACTCGTTTGTAGCCGAGCTTCTCAACGGCGTACTTGGCCGTGATGGCGACATTGTTGTAGACGCAGTATCCCATCGGGCTCTTCCCGTACGCGTGATGACCCGGGGGACGGACGACGGCGAAGCCATTGCCCACCCTGGAATCGATCGGAATTCGTTTTTCAGGTGACAGAGGATGCGGCACCCCTTCTCAAGAATTCTAACCGGTAAGACTCCAGATAACCCCCCAGCGGGCCCCCAACTTTTGTATCACGGCTCCCCGTTCATCTACAGGTTGTAAAGATGCCAATGTATACCATGTTCGTCTTGCCCTGGCAAGCATTTTGGTATACCTTACACACCTGTAGATGAACAGGGAGCCGAGATACCAAATTTCAGCCTTCTAACCTCTTGTCATGATGCGCTTTCAGCATCTCAATGCAATTCCCAACGGCAATTCGGGCGGCCTGCTCCGATTTCGGGTTCATCCACAGGATCTCGTGCGACTTGCAAAAGTTCTCGCAAGCCTGCAAAAATGTTGATTTTTGAGTCGACCTTTCGGTACCTCATCCGTGTCGAGGGCGTTCATCTCGCGGATGATCTCGATCGGGTGGTTGAGCAGCAGCTCGTCCTCCACGGCCTCGCGCGATTGGACCTAGAACATTGAATTTCGAACCCGTTTCGGATTTGTGACGCAGCAGTTTGTAAAAGTCGCTGCTTCGAGTATGCCGAAGCAACGAAAGGAATGAACCTTTCAAGGAACATTAAAGACACAAATTGTTCTATTGCCATACCCAATAAATATTCCTGAGCAAACGCTCCTTCTCGAGCCGTTCATGGATGATCTTCATCCGTTCGGGTCTCTCGGCCATCGTCGGATCATAGTTGCAGACGTGCTCCAGCATCCGCTCATCGTACGCGTAGCCGAACGGGAGTCGCATCGCTCCACTAGAATTTTGTAGACGTCAGAAAGTCTTAGAAAAGTACGAAAAAGGATTGATATGATACACTTTTGAGGCAGACATAATATGACATTCCATACTTTGAGAGTCATAAAAAACTGAATGGAAAGACGTGATAAAACCCTATTTGGAAACTAAACTTTAAAAATAATCGCTCGAAAATTTCCTACAAGGTCAAACCCGGCAAAAATTGCGCATTTTACCACAGACCAAGCAAACACCGTGCCTTTTTTTAGCTATAGAAATTTATAGGGCAATGGGAATGCAATGTTTGCTTGGGTTACAGGTAGGTCGGGGAAAGTTTTGACGTTCCCCCACACCTCGAACACCTAGAAAATATGATCAAAACCTGGAAATTTCTGGGATGCCAAAATAAGCATTGCCCGTTACGCGAGCCAGTGCCAAAAACGTTATCAGGTTGAACGCTGATCCCCTCAACACACTCACAAACCGAAGAAAGAAATGTGGGCCTGTTGATAGGAACCTAAGCTGTTTGTGCCCCTGGCAAGTTGTTCGGGATTTTTGAACTCTGCATTCTAAGGTTTTCAATACTTGCAACCCATCCGTAACTCTGTAGCATACAGAACAAGTGTGATACCAGGTTTGGGACCTTGGGGCTCTGCCCGAAATCCAAAATTTGCATACCCATACCTGGAATTGTGGCGGACGATGAGGCCATGTCGAAGCCGGGTGAACAACCGGACGCGGTGCATCCTCGAGTAGAAATGATGAATTATGCAGGTATCGTCGTTAGTTGCGCAGTAAATGCAAATTTTTGTATCCTTACAGCCAGGGCGGACGGGAACGGGGGGGGCCGAGTCCCCCCGCCCCCCCCCCGCCACCAAAAAAAAAACCCAAAACCCCGCCAAAAAAAAAAAAAAAAAAAAACCCACCCCCCCACAAAAAAGGGGGAAAAAAAAAAAAAAAAAACCCCCCGCAAAAAAAAAAAATAAAAAAAAAAAAAAAAAAAAAAAAAAACCCCGGGCAAAAAAAAAAAAAAAAAAAAAAAAAAAAAAAAAAAAAAAAAAAAAAAAAAAAAAAAAAAAAAAAAACCCGCGCAAAAAAAATATAAAAAAAAAAAAACAAGGGCCCCCCTTTTTTTTTTTTCGGCCCCCCTCCGGGGGGGGGGGGCCCCCGCGCCCCCCCCCCCAAGGCCCGCTACAAAGATGCAAATTTTTTTACGATTTCCGGAAGTAAGAAAAGCTTCCGGTTTAGACAAACCTGTTTGTTTTTGGGTGAGCCAGGGAGGATATCGTGTAAGATATAGATTTACTAACTGTACTGAATTTCCACTTAGCCCGGAAGTAAAATCCCAAAACACCTGCCATATGTGGCTCGTCTGAACTTTTTTGTTACATTTCTCAGCGTTTGGTTTCTGATTTTTGAATTGTTGGTACGGTTTTTACGTTTATGCCACCTTTTGCCAGTTTTTCAATCGTAATTCAGATACCTTTTAATGCATTTTACCTAATTCTTTGAACGGCACGCTTCATTTTTCAATTTTTCTCCAAATTTCCTTTTCTTCGCAACAACAATCCCTGAAATTCAATTTCCAATGTTTCAGCCTTGCCTCCTCCGGAATTTTGCGGCGGAATTGGGGCGATGTTTATCTTCCCCTCCCCAGTTAGCTGCGCCGACTCCAAAGTACAAAAAATGACTCCCCGGTGGCGGGCCTGCGAGAACTGTTTACAACATGCAATGTGGCAGGCAGTCTGAACTGAAAATAGCCTGAGTTGACACATTTTATGCGTATTCTATGGATGAACCCGGGCCATCAACGGCTAGAAAGGCCAATATTTCCGTGCTGTACGCCCGGCTTTTCCAGGTAAAGTTTCATGGGTATCAAAATGACAGGGATAATTTTTAGGATGCAAATTCGGTAGATTGGACCACTTTTTTCACCGTCCAAAGCAGCCCGGAGCATCTCACGACGCTGATTGAAAATTTGCATCGAAAAGTATCGAGACCTTCATTTTCTACTCATAATACCAAGAAAAATCAAAATAAAATATTCTAAAATTTGTTTTTTAGGAAATTACCCCCTTAAAAGAGGCCCTCCACAAATTACTCGACCGTTCACTTACCGTATTTTTGCAGGTAAAGCGAATCAATCGACCAAAACTATATATTTTTCAGCATTCCGACATCCAAGCCTTCAATGCCCTTACGACAGTATCAACTGTAATAAACCTGATTGGACAGAAAATGGGGCTAAATGATGAAGGAATAGAATTTTTATTTTCTGCAGAAGCCAGAAAACGAATACCGGTATTTTGTATTGATCTCTCTATTCCATCTTTCTAGGATTTCGCCAAACGAATTGCCTATATTTTGGGGCATTCGCGTTCAGATGAGATGAAATTGCTTTGTTGGAACGCGTTGTTAAAGGTATTTGACAATCCATTAAATCCAACCTTGTAATCTATCCCTATATGGCTTCAATGCCCCCTTTAAATCATTGAAACCACAAAAATGTTCTAATTTTCAGATAGCCACTACCGTAGCCGACGTCTCTGAAAATCGCCTCCTCCTTGATTTTTGTTGCCAAGACATCCTTGAAGCCATTTTGATCCAATTTTTACCTACGGCTGACCCGAGCCATGCCGATTATGCTAGTAACCTCAACCCATAACACTTTTCATCGTCAGCTTCAGTCAACTTATTTTCAATTCTACTTTCCCACTTTGATGGAAGCATGCAGCTACTTTTAAGGTTAGCCATGGAGGAGGAGGAGCACATATTTGAGGTGATTATCCTTTCGAAGACCCTAGAAAAACAAGAGTTTAGGGGCTGAACGAAAAATTCCGAGGATTTTTCGACCTGAAAGCGGATTACATGGTGGCCGGGGAATGGGATATGACTTCGTTGTATAAGAAACACAAGCGAGAGGTAATTTATTTCGACAAAAGTTGCAGAAAGTTGAAGATAAAAACAATTTTTAAGCCGAAAACATCACCATTTGTCGATACGGGCTCACGAACGAATGTGTTGGAGATTGCAAGCCTATTTACATTCTATTCCACCTGCACTACGAACAAAAAGCTATTGACGTTGCTTTTTGCGGTAGGTTCTGTTCGGTAAGAGAGAGAAAGAGCGAAGCGAAAGACAGAGAGCGAGAGAGAGACGCAGACATATAGAGGGTATGGGAAAAACGAGTATTGCCATTTTAGACTGACTTCCTCCACCATCAGCCATGCACGATTGGAATTTTTCTTTCCTATTGCTCCTACGCGCTATTTAATTATGAAAGTGGGTATAATTTCCATTAAAATTTCCCTAACAATACTTCTAAGTAAGTTTTACGTTAAATTGAAACCCCTAAAAGCACCCCACCACGTATTTTAGCAGAAACACAGCTCCTCGAGCTCTCTTGGCATAACAGCTTAGCGCTAATGCGTAAGTCAGACCTCTTTTAGTTCCGGGAAGGGCTACTATTATTTTATATTCGGTCTTTCCCTCTGGCGCCTTTGGTATCACCTCCAAAAAAACTCTCGTTTCCAGCTGACGCCTCTCGACTGCGCGCGAAACTGTGCTTCCTAACATTGCTAAAGCTCGTGGACGACGCCTACGTTTTGGCCGAACTTCATAACGATGTTCGTGCTCGGAATATCGCCTTTGATCCTAGGGTGTGGCGTGGAAATGGTTAGGCCATTTTAAAAGCTGCAGATCGATTTATTTTGTAGACGACAAGCCAAAAGCCGCTCTGCTTGGTGCTGCTGTTCTCGAGATCCTTGTCGGGTTCATCAAGACGAGCCTGAAGACGACGATTCCATTAGAATTCTTTGAGTGTGGAATCAAGTTAATTATCGGAATATGATTTTAGTTTCGCCCTCGGGATTATCCACCGTATTCTGGTGTTTTTACGGGAGCGTGAATTACGAATTGACGAATGGAAACCGTTGTTTTTAGGTATGGAATTCAGGGATAGAGAGCGAGGGAGAGAGAGAGGGGAGAGCGAGAGAGAGAGAGAGAGAGAGGGCGATTTATAGTGAGCCATTTTTGACCGCTTTTTAGTCCTCTTCGCTCTGCTCAAATTCTTACGTAAGAGCGAGCACAAACTGCCGTATTCCGAGCCACTAGTTCTACGTGTCGTCATGTTGCTCAATTTCTTTATTACATATGGAGATCAATTTCTGCCTGAGTAAGTTTTCTATGAAAGAAATTTTACGCTTCCTAGTGATGAAGCCTACGAGTTTGTGTACTATGAAATTCTACGCAATCCCGATCTGTTCAAGCGGTTGGAGAGCAGCCTAAAAGCTTCGCCAGAAAAGTAAGTTAATGGAGGCATTGTTTATGACTCTGGCTTTAGCGAGGTTACCGAAAAAACGCTGGCTCAACTCGAAAATCAGTTAAGTATAATAAAAACTATTCAACCGACGCTGGATGCTATTAACGAATATCCTACCGAGAAACAGGTACCTCTTGCTATCGCTTTCTTTCTCTCTCGCTTTCTCACTCTCTCACTCTCTTTGTTTTAGCTCCGAAAATTTACAGGTCTACGCAGCAATCCGTGAAAATTTGGACCAAGTCGAACTTCGCCTATTCCCTACGATTACCGTAGTCGATCGATATGAGGCTGGCACTCATCAGAGGACATTTTTCGATTTGTTATCGGTTAAGGTGGGCTCGAAAACTTAAAGCAGGCTACAACCAAATTTAGCTTGCGGGTCGACTCCATAGCGAAGTTGAAGCCGCTGAAATCGACTATCCAAAAGCTCTGGCGGAACTTGGCTTGTCATAAAATTTATCGGCATCGAAACATCAAATTGCATATTCTAGACCCATATTGGAACGTACAGCATGATACTGTACGCTAGGCGCCGTTCAGAGATTTGCCTAAAAACCGGAGCTGAAAATTTGGATTGTCTTACCATTAGAAAACAAGAAAACGCAATTGCAGCAGATCAGCACCGTGCCGAAAGTGCGTAAAATTATTGCCCATTCCTCGAATGAGCTACCGTAGCCCATGTACGGCACCCAGAAAGAGCTGATAATCGTCAGGAAATGGCCAGAGACCTTAAAGAATTCATAGTCAAATATTGTTGTTTACCTGTGTATAGTGATTTATCGTACTTGCATCCGCTTTTCCGAAAGTTTGAACCAGTTTTGGACATCCACCAGTGTAGAAGCCAAGGCAACAAATGGCAGTTGCTGAAAAAGGTTAGAATCTCTCTCTCTCTCTCTCTACTCGCTCGTTCGGTCTCGCTCTCTCTCTCTCTCTCACCTAGTAGACCAACATCCATGGCACCACCATCCGGATTCCGCATCGTTACTGCCCAAAAAAGTCCACCACACCCAAATAGTGCCATAGAGTTAAAGATTTTGATCTTCTTAAGCTTGGATGGCCAAGGGAAATCGTCAAATAAACATGACGTCGCGATTTTCACTATTAACTATCAAAAATCAAATTAATAAACCACACAATACCTCACCATTAATAAAATAGGATAGAGCGTCGCCCCGGCACATTCTCTTGGGGTATATTTCAGCGCATTAGCGTAGAATAGAAGTGAACAAGTGAGGGAGAATTGAACTCCAAACGTATGCCCTAGGCTTCCGGCCATCACCGACCAAAATTGAAAATTCTTGAGGAGCGCCCATAATGGTAGTGCTACCTAAAACGTATTTGTGGAATTAAAATTAAGGCTCAAACCCGGCTTTCTTCATTTACGCCAGTATGTAGCACATATTTATTGCCTCCCAACGACGTTTCACTATCATTTTCTTGGTCTAATCTTGGCATCTTTCTAAAAAAGGATGAATCAAATACGGAGAGAGAGAGAGAGGAGAGAGAGAGAGAGAGAGAGAGAGAGAGAAAGAGCGAGAGATAACGCGGGCGAGGGAACCTTCATTTCGATCTCACCCGAATATGACCACTACAGCCCATCCAATCGTCAAAAACAGAGCGGTACCACCATGAATATAGAAAATTAAGGGCCATCCTATAACTTATCATTTTTGACGTTTTCCTACGGTACTCACGTGCGGATCCAGCAAATTTTGCGATAGTCAAAGCAATAAGCGGCGACATCTCGACATAAGCTAGAAAAATACGCTTCACAAAAAAATTCTATCCGGCCCTTACTTGAAAATACGATCGTCCAAAATTTCCTATTCCGGTCCGACACCCATTTCGATAACATTTTTGAGGCGGTCATCGGCAAAATACCGGAAATTATGCCCTAAGCGCCATTTTCTAAAGGATTGGAGAACTGACTTACACGTATCAAACGTAAAAATGTGAATGCAACGAAAGAATTGGCAATCATGTACGGTAGAATGAGGCACGTGGCTGAGATGACGGATCCGGAGAGGAAGGTGAGGGCATAGATACGGATGTGCTTTCGGATACGGTCGACCAGGATGAGGCCAAGACCTGAGCCGAGAGCTCCGACTGAAAATTGTCATTGCCTACGAGAAAAAGCTAATTTTCACAGATTTTTGGGATTTTGCGGGTGGATTTTACTGATTCTATCTTTTAGATTTCCTTATTTTTAGATTTTTTTTAGATTTAGATTTTAGATTTCAAACCATTTTAAATTATCTAATTCAAAGATATAAGTCGTCAAACCTGCAAATCCCCAGCCAATTTGGGCAACCGATAGTCTGACTCGTCGATGGCGAAGCATCAACTCGGGGTTATTCCACTAAACTCAATCTTTATCCCAATTTTCAGATCTGCACCTCAATTTCGGTGATGTTTTCCGTGTTATCTGCTCTCAATGGACTTGTCCTGACGTCAGTCATCGAGATGAAGCTGCTGTTGTAGCTCAGGAATCTGTAAAAGTGGCGTTTTTATCTGTATTACAATACGATTTCGATTTGGACTTCATCGACTTCTATTTTTTCTCGATATTGATCTGAAGTTTCGAACTTTTTGCAATGGTCTTTTTGAATAGAATCTATCAGCTCAATAGCATTTTGAATTTTGTCAGCAGCTTGAAAGTTTTTACCAACTACTTAAAACTGACAGGAAAATACGATAAATACAAAAAACACCTACCCGGAATGCACAAACGATAAAAATAGAAATGTAAACGTCAGGATGCAATTCGGCAAAATCGTGGAAGTCCCAGATTTGGCGCCATCCTTTCGTCTCGTCATCCTTTGTGTGAGGTCCCCAGGTAGCCCTCGACGAACTTTCGGAAGAATCGAGGAGGATGTGGTATAGACAAGAGGGCAAAAAGTGGCCAGACGATCAGCAGGTAGAAAGAAGGGAGGAGGATGCACAGGACAGCAGATTCCTTCCAGACCGTTCGATTCATCATTCACACCTTTTATCGGACAGCCGTGGGTGGGAGAGAGAGACAGCCCCGCCTCATATGCAAATGTCCCCAGGGAGAAGGGAGGAAGACTGTCAAAAATAGTACGTTGTAACCCGGGGTTACGCACGGCTCCAGAGAACGATATGTGTTACGTAGTGCTCGATGTGCTCTGAAAAGCCATTTTTCATGGATTATGCAAACTCAGGCATCACCGGAGCGGTTCGCGCCGTTTTTTAAAAATCGCAAAAAATCCCGTGATGTTCTGATGGAGAGAATACCTCGCGGAAAGTTTGAGGTAAGAATTATAGCAATTTTTAGGCATACTAAGAAAATCTCAAACATTTTCAAGACGCATCAAGTATCGTACGCGTGTCGTCTATTAGGAATCCCGTGCGAACCTTAATTTTACGTCAAAATTCGTCCTCCATATGGTCGGCTGAACCGGAATTAGTACCATCCGCGACTTTGAGTATGCCTGACCACCCCGCACGCCTCTAGACGCTCATTCTAAATTTGACATGTCCCTTTAATAACCCGAATTTTATGCGTAACTTGCGGGAATTTTTCGTATTTTTCCGATATCCGCCAAGCTCCAGTCGTCGCCCGCCGTTTTCCGGCGTTATTGCGGGTTGGCCAAGCCAGTTATGGGAACCGAGCGTGGGCCTATTGAATCGTCTTGATTGTTTTGTCTGTCTGGGAATTCTGATTCAGAAGTCAGAAAAAAAAATTCAGGACTTTTCGACGTAAACGCTCCAATAATTTTCTTGTGAGTTAAAAGTTTTTAGTTACTTTATCCTCCCTTTCAAATCTTGACTCTTGGAGATTTCGATAATTTTGATGGAACCGGCTCTTTAAGATATTTAAGAGATTTTAATGACAATTTTTGATGATTTTGATGAAGTTCCAATTGGCTCCGATGTTCCGTTCCACCGATCAGTGGAGGTTTTTCGATCGTAGGGCGATGTAGGCGGGCGTGTGAAAGCAATGTTCACACAGACCGCTGCTGTCCTGGTGAGTCTTTTTTGATAGGAGAGAGAGAGAGAGAGAGAGAGAGAGAGAGAGAAGGAGAGAGAGAGAATGATAGATGAGAGGTGGAAGGGGTGGGGGAATGACCCGATCCGTCTGGACCGACTGACGCTCAAAAAGCGGAAAAGAATGGAGGGGACTGGCCAGTTGGAAGGGGGGGAGGGGACATTCAGTTCGTCCATTCCGCCCTTTCTACCCTCTTTTTCGACCCCAAAGCCCCCTCGGCACACTTCCCGCATTTTAGAGAACCCACTCGACACCCATCCTGCTTCACTCAAAAGTTTTTCAGGGTCTTTGACGATTTTCTGATGGTTCCACCTTTAAAAAATTAAAAATTAAAATAAAAACAGAAAATTTATTTTTTTAAGAATTTTTGAGGTTTGTAAATCTGTTTTAACAAGCTGGCTATAGCATAATGATTTTTATTAACAGATTATAGCTGCTATGAAACCAGTTTTCATGAATTTACGGTCACTTGAAAGACGGACGGTTTCGTACTCTGCCCCCTTTCACTTTGTACTGCGTTTCCAGGGCCTCGTTTTTGTTTGATAACAGCTGATATTTTGCAAAAACCTTTCACTACGAGATTTCCCCTGGAGAACAGTGAGTAAAAAAATCTGCAAATTGGCAGCAGTTCCCGTCGGCCCTAGGGGGTGGCGCCGCGGGGGCACAAATTCGTTTTTTGGCGTCACCCCCTTTCCGCTGTGGCCATCCTTGCACGCCTCCTTCATTTTCTCAGCAGACGTGCGCCCATCTCGGCCACTCTATTTGAGGATCGGCGGCCAATTTAGTCCTTGCCCTTCCCATTAGGCGTCCATTCGAGCCTTGGTGAATCGAGAATATGGCTTAAGTGCAGTTCACCCCCCCCCAGCCGTCACCCACCTACCGTATCTCGGCTCGCTGTTCATCTACAGGTGTGCAAAGTATACGAAAATGTTCGTCTTGCTCTGGCGGGCATTTTGGTATACTTGACACACCTGTAGATGAACAGGGAGCCGAGATCGAAAAGTTGGGTGCCGGCTTGGGGGAGGGTAAACTGCACTCTAACCGAGAATTTTGGCCTTGACATTGTTCTGCGTCTTTTAAATCGATATTAGACCTAAAAAAGTAGCCCAGCTTCTAAAGCACAACTTCCGCCTTTTTCCAAAAACCCCCCGAAACTAGAGATTTCACGGTCGAAAAACGTGCCTGAATCAGGGAAGCGTGTTATTTCCAACCCGTTGCCCATAGCCTGGAATAAGTACGGGAATAGGGATAGACTCTAGCCGATCTCCTATTCCATTTTCTTCTTCGCCTTCCCTCTCTCTGGCCCATTACTCTAATCTCGAGCTTATATTGGGGCTCATCCAGAAAAGAACGGGCAAAAAGGAGCCGGAGGCCCCATCCCGGTTCGGCTCTCATTTCTACCTCTCAGATCCCGTTTCTGCTGACGCGGGTCGGATAGAAATTTTTAGATCTAACCTTTCAATTCCTGCCCCTTAAGCACATTTTCGAGCTAATAAGTGTTTTCTACAATTGCGTTTTCAAAATTTCTTCTTCCAAACCGAAAAACGTCAGTAAAACGGACACTCGTCTTTTCGTGGATAATTTTCGTGGTATTTAAAAGCCTGGTCGCTATTTTTCACTCAATTTCCGGTCTCAAGATAATTCCAATTTTTAGTGATCTTTGAAACAGCTTAAAGAAATTCCCCTGATCTTTTCTTTCGCCCGGTTTCGACAGCGGATCCCCCCCTCCCTCTTTCCAGCCCTTCCAGTATTTCCTCCTTACGTCAAAAGCTTGGACGGGCAGCAGGCGGTCACTATCTCTTTTTCCCAGAGTTTGCCCAGGCTTCCACGCTTTTTGAGGGGGTCACTGTGGCCATAGTTCAGGCCCAACGCTAGACAGTTTTTTAAAGCTTCAATAAGCCTTAAAAACTCAAAAACCTATGATTTTTTAAAGCGCTAGGAGGCAAAATTCGCGCAAAAATTTCTTACAAAACCGGAGGCTTCCAAGCATTTAATCTCATTATAACCATCATCTAAAGCCTATAATTTCCATACATAAACCCAGCTGACAACACCCAATTCCACCCAGCTGTGTGTGCTTGACCCAATAGCTCGAGGCCACGAACAGTTCCGGCTCTCATCACCCCCTGCTCCCTCTTACATCCTTCGCTCTCGCTCTCTCACCCCCAAATGGCGCCATTCCCTGTCGTACTTTGCCTGACCGTCCCCCCACCCAACCACCGATTATTTCGAGATCTCTGCCCTTTTTCGGGGGGCTTTTCATTCGGGGTGGCCGTGCCGGGTCTCATTACGGGGTGTTCGACTTATCGGTTGAACTCTTCGCGATAGGAATTCACAGACAAACCGGCGGACGGTGCGTCGCAGATAACGGTAGCACTTTGTCCTTAGAAAAATGGGGGTTCTGAGGTTCGTCGGATAGGGTTGGCTTGGGAAAAAGTGTGTGATAGAGGAGCGTCTGGGAACCCGGTAGGTGATAAAGGGGCAGACAGTTCGTCTACCAGTTTCATCTCTGGGAAAGCCCGAACTTGTCAGCTAAACGATCAGACATTTAAAAATACCATTGTTTCAAATCTGTTGAACGATCTACAATGGGTTATCATTCTTTTTTCACCCGTTAGTAATTTTATGGATTTTAGCTAACAAATTTTTTAAATCCGATAAACAATAAATTTATTTTCATTTTCCGGATTATCTAGACGAAAGATACCTCTATTCATCCATATTTATCTATACGGTGGTCGCCCCCTTATAAACCCCCCTGATCCCCGAACAAACCACACTTTTTACGTCTCCCACCGGAAAACCTTCGAAAAAGCCCCATTTCGTCGCTGGAGCCTCCCAGTGGGCGGTACCGATAAGGTGATGAAAATACGATATCAACAGGCTGATTGACACATATTTTTGCCTTATCTTTTAGCATTAAAACACCCGTTTAACTTGCTTACAAGACCCCGCTCGACCATTTTCTAAAATCCGAGCAAAGCAGCAAGTTAAGTAGGGGCGATTTAATCATCTAAAATTCGAAACCAGTGCCAGGTCAGTGTTTTTAAAATATTTTTCGCTTGCTTTTCCTCGCAAGCTTTTTCCAACTCAAAGAGATCCAAAATGATCCAAAAGCTTTCAAATGCATTCGCGATTTCGAGCCTTCCCGGGTCTCTTGGGGTCAACACGCCACTTTTTTCGTTCCGGGTCCCCGGAACAAAGCTTCATCCCGCCCCGTCCCAACCGCTGAATTGCAAACTCCTAGAGAATTTATACCCTAGCTTCCTCATTTTCCCTTCGGTTTTGTGCCCAGAATCACGTCCCTCTCGCCTGATATTTTGTCTATGCCAAGCCTGAATGTCCATTCCTTTCCAAAAAGAATCGTGGGAAATTTTCTGGGGAACCAGATTAGCAGGATGACTAGGAGGAAAAGTGGAAAATCCCGTCCAAAAAGGAACAACACTTCCGGGCGCCGGAAGGCTCCATTCAGATCCCCCGCTCCCAGCAGAGCTGCCCCTAGGGAAAATTTAGAAAAATGGCGTTGATTTTCTGGGAAACGCCTGGCTCTAGCCGGAAAGATCCGAATGACCCCCAGGAGGAAAGGCATGCGTTTTCGCCATACCCGTGAAAATGGAATCCATTTTTTTACCTTTTTCATTACTACGCAAAGCCGAACGATTTCGTTGATTGTCACATATTGAAAGTCGGACCGCGCTCGATTTCATTTGGCTACTGATATTTACTTCCTCGGCATTTCCCGGAGGCTACTGTACTAACTAATCGCGCGATCCGCGTCCAAAAATAAAACACCTAATTTGCTGAGAAAGCAGCTGCGCACCTCCCCATAACGTGCACTACATGCGCTGACAAATTTGGGCTGACGCTATCGGCGGTTCGCATCGCTTGAAATATTGAAAAGTTTCTGCCCAGGTTGTCAGGGGCATTCTGTCATTCTAGGCGCAATATTACTCTTTTATTATCCGTTGCTAAAGTTTTCGACGCTATTATGAGCTGCGACGGGTTTGAGGGTTAGTTATTATTCTGATTTGATTCCGCCAACCACCTCTGAAATTTAAAAACAAACTTTCTACAATTCATAAGTTCTGCAGAAAATCGGCTTTTTCAAAATTTAGTACATTACGTAACCCCTAACGGTCCAGCGACCATTGGCGCGTTGAGTAGCTTTAGCCCGGCGGGTTGCTCCTATTTTTCCTGCTTGGTACTGAAGTATAATTTTGAGGTGCTTATTCAATAATGATTGATATAACCATTCAATTCATGTTGTTTTTGCAGACTTGGGTCCCCTGGTCGGAATGCCGCCCACCGCCGCCGATCTGCCAACCCCCATCGACGAGGATCTCGTCTCCGTCACCAAGGATGCCTACGAGTCGTTCCGCAAGGAAAAGGTGAGAAATACAGCCAATTGACTGAGTTTTGCCTTATTTAGTGGTTCTTTATTTTACACATTTTTCCAGCCCGTGTTCGAGGAGACCGTGACCGCCGCCGTCGAAAAGACCCCGAAGGAATTGGCTGATGCGGATCCGTTGATGCAAGTCGGTTTTCTTAGTTCTTTGCTGATTGAACCCTTCAATTCAGAACATCCCGACGGTGGGCGAGCTTCGAGCCGTCATCCCGGCCGAGTGCTTTGAGAAGTCGTTGCCCACCTCCATCGCCTACATGGTACTCGATTTCGTGATCATCGCTGGGCTCTACAAGGCGCAGCCCTACTTTGAGATGTTCTCGTTGCCCGGCATGTTGTTCTGGTGAGATTTTATACGGTTCAAACTTATTAAATTTTTTCTAAAAGCGTGATATCCGATAAGTAAGGATTTTTAGGTATTTCCTGATGGGGATGATGGGCTTCGCCGTATTCGTCGTCGGCCATGACTGTGGACACGGAACTTTCTCCAAGTACAAGGTATAGTGTTGTAAATTTTATGCTTTTGCAATTCTGAACTTTTATAGTGGGTAAACGACATCATCGGCCACATCTGCCACGGTATCCTTTTGGCCCCATATTGGCCATGGCAAAAGAGCCACCGTCTCCACCACACCTACACGTCGCATCTGGAGAAGGTAATTTAAACCCCATTTTCTCATTATTATTATTTAGGACCACGGCCATCCCTGGATCACCATCGATCTCTACGAGACGTGGAACGACTTCAAGAGGTTCTACGCCAACAACCCCTACACGGCACTTGTTAGGTGAGTGTTTTCGGATGGCTGGATGGAATTCCTTTTTCTATCGATCTTCGAGTATACCTATTTTTGTTTTAGGTGGTACATGTACACCGTGGCCGGTGTCACTGATGGCTCTCACTTCTGGCCCTTCTCCCGCATGTTTGACAACACCACCGAGCGAATTCAATGCGCCGTTTCGGGACTCGTGTGCATCGCCTGGGCAACGGTACGGAGTTCTTTTTTGGGATGCAAAAGGTCGCGCAGGGTTAGAAATTTACGCGACATTCGGAAACGCAAAAAATCAATGCCGTGCGTTTGACAGTTTTGAATTTAGGCTGCTTTCTGGTACTTGGACTACAGCGTGTACGCCTGGGTGAAGTTCTACTTACTCCCCGTGATGTCCCAGGGCTTCTGGCTGACGATGGTCACCTATCTGCAACATCAAACCGAGGATATCAAGGTAACAAGTGAATCCTGGCTTTTAAACTCGTTTTTGAGGTGTTCGAGGACGGCACTTGGGGATATGTGCGCGGACAGCTGCAAACCATCGACCGGCCATATGGGTTAGTGTTAATTGTATACACTTAATAGTTTGCTTTTAGTTACGGCATTGACCAGCTGATGCACCACATCACCGACGGGCATGTCGCTCACCACCTCTTCTTCACGCAGATCCCCCACTACAACTTGATGAAGGCCACCCACGCGTTGCAGCAGAAGCTCGCGCCTCTTGGCGTCTATCGGCATGAGGTGAGTTTTCTAGTCTTGCCTTTTTCTAATTATTTAGTTACTTTTAGCCGTGAAAATCTGGTAAAAAAAGTCTAAATTCTCCATTCTTCAGAAATCGCACGACTTCCTCCTCCAGTTCTACAACCTGAACCGGAAGCTGACCAGCCTCGTCGGCAAGGGTACCGGGCTGCTGCGCTACACGGCTTTCGAGAAGAAGACGGCCTAAACGACAGTATTTTTCTTATTATCCCCCGAATTTTCCACTATGTCTTAATTTCCCCCACCACCTTCCCCACAAAAGGCTTGAGTTTCAAAATCACACACGGGATTATACTAGTATCCAATTGTCAAATGTAACTCAATTTATCCTAATATTTTTTCTGTGCCCAATTTACACCGGCCGTTTTGCGTGTAGGAATCTTGATATTTCCCCATCTCCCCAAAATGGGTACCACCAGACCTTGTTAGGCTAATTTTTAGAGCGATTGTCCTCACCCCTTTGACCCGATGCCCGTAATGACTTGACGTTTTTTTATCTATTTGCCCCCATAATCCTAGTGATCTCTATGTGTAACTGGAATAAATGCTACAGGCTATTTTTCGTAGCGAAATCTACACAAAACTCAGTTAAACTTTTTAGAACGGCCGATAAAACCTGACCCCGGCCACCCCGTTCCCTCACTCATCGTCAACAATTCGAACGAGGCGCTTGGCAGGGGGATTTGAATAATATCCGGCCCCGCCGAGTCAACAATACCGGTCCGATTAGCGTTTTGCAATTTTTTCGGCCTTTCACCCCGGTCTGCCCGCCACAACGTGAAAATTCACACAAACAGGCCCACGACTACAAAATTAGCTGCCACTCCCCAGAAGCATCGCATTTGCCGAAAATGGCTATACGAAGCATGCTGTTTCTTTGGCTCCTTACTGTAGCTGCCGCCCAAAATTACGATTCAAATTCGATAAACTATACGCTACCTTATACCGCGCAGCCGATACAACCGATAACCGCCGCACCACAATATGGGACGGTCGAGGGGACACAGGGTAAGTAGAATTAACTTCTAAATTAAATCTAACGCGTTCTATCGTTCTATTCTCTAGCCAAGCAAAAGCGATAGCTTCTCACCAAGACACTTTCTAGTCTGCCCTCGATGTGGGCCGCTAACTTTCAATGCTTCAGCAATTTCCTCGCAAATTTTTGTGCCGTATTTGAGGTAATTTCTTTCAGGTTCCAAAAACTAGCGATTTAGAGCTAATTTTTTGAATAGAGAGGGCAATACTTGATTCAGACCAGTCGACCTCGCTAACACCGTCCCGATTTGCGAGGTGGCAAAAGCCGTTTGTTCCTGCGGAAATATGTTCATACCGGTAACAAAATAGCCACTAACACTTTAGACGCCAAAATTACACGCTTTAAAAACGCTAGATTATACTTCTTACTCTCCTATTCAAAAGATTCAACTGCTGACCGACGTCACTGGTGGTATGGTTCTGGATTTGAATCTAGGCTCGGCAACTCGGATCGTATTCTGTGGATTGGACGGACAGTTGGTCTTCTTTATAAAGAACGATCTTCTACGCCAGAGCTAGAGCCAATCTATACATTTCAGATGGTACATAATGCAGGGCACACAACCCCTCGTCATCAAAACCCTCATCTGCTACGCCTACAACCCGCAGCCACAGTATCCCACTTACCACCTGCCTACCCTGTAACCTTTTTCAGAGCATTTGCCGCTTCACCCCTTATTTGCCAGCCACAGCAATTTCCCGTATTTGAGCAAGGCCTCGTTTAGGTTCCCGCCGATACGCTGGAAGAGGGACACGCCCGAATAATTAATAAATTGTACTCATTTCAAAAAATAAAACAATTTTTTTATCTATCCACGGACAAGCGCCGAAAAAATAAAGAATTTTGCAAGTTAGGGGTCTAGCTCGTTGAACGTGGAAAGGACGAGTGGTGGTGGTGGTGATCACATGGATAGGATGACGAATAAATATGGAAACAGACACGTTTAATACGGTAACTGGGTAGAGATCATGTTTAGCGCCTCTCACGCTTCATTGGTGGCTGATTTCCGAAAGCATCCGAACCGCCGCCGTAGTGGTCGCCCGACGCTCCGTAGCGCGGCTGATAGTTGTTGAAAGCACCACCGGGATCTGGAAAAGAAAATTTGATTTGTATGCTTTTAAATGGAAGTATTTATCAAAAAAAAACAAGTGCGCAAAAAAGTGAGCACAAAGACTCACGATTTTGCTGCATGTTCTGCTGATTTCCTGGCCCAGCGCCGCGGCCATCGTCGTTCTTGAATAGTTGGAGGAGACGCTGGACACCTTCTATCACGTTCGGACGTGGACCATTGGGGTTTCCCTGCTAAAATTGAGCGATTAGTCCAATTCAAAAAGTAAGTTATTACCTGTGGCGGTGGTGCGAATTGTTGCTGTTGATGTTGTGGATGTTGTTGTTGATGATGATGAGTCGGAGGCGGCACCGCCAACGAGGGTACCCCAAAAGGGCCAGGCGGACCTCCAGAGAACGCTGAAAAAATGGGATAAATAGAGCAACAGGTGTTTTTTTTTGAAAAATAGAAAACAGCTGAAACTCACGGTTTGGCTGCTGCTGGGACTGGAAAGGTGGCGGGACCATGTGCGGCGGCGGTCCTCCTCGTCCCATGTTGATCGAGGGCGGGCCCATATTCGACATGCGCTCACGGCGCGCGGCTTCGAGACGCTCTAGCTCTTGCTGACGGCGCTGCAGATCTAAAAAGGAATCAATAATCCCAGTAATAAACAATTTTTGTTTTTCCCTGAAAACCTCTGCGACGCTGCAAGCACTTTATGCGAGTCAGTGTTACGTCAAGGAGCAATCACCAACAAAATTGCGCATTTTCTGTTTGAAAAGCTGCGAATTATGCAGGGGCTCTACATCTGAGAACCAGGAGTGTCGCATTTGACTATGACGCAGGAGCAACGAGTTCATAAACTAGAGAAGCGGATTTTTCTGAGAGTGTCTAAACAGCCAATCAGGAGATTTAGATTTTTGTGCGGTATGGAACGTCGCTCAGGGGAGGACGATTTACCTAATTACAAGCCTGTACTTTCGTAAACTATATAGCGACTTCGTAGGTTTTATCTAATGCACTGCGAAATACCTAAATTTGCGGAAGAAAATGTTAACTAAGTCCGAAGGTCAAGATCAAGAATTTGTTATCTTTAGAACCGTAACACGAGGAAAAACATGAGAGGCAAAGGGCCGAAATGCGTTTTTAAATGCCCAAAATACGACGCGCATAAGTAATGCAAAGCCAGCATGAACTCTTATAGAGATTCAGGGTACTCTGAAACGACCCCTTACCACCATTCAACCGGAGAAAATACTAGGACGCACGCGCAAAAATCGTGCCAGTCAAAAGCTCAAATTTCACTGGCAAATCGCCATTTTTACCAAAAAAAAAGTTAAAAAACAAGCCTTCTCGTAGCATTTGCGCCTGATAGTCTTGGTAGGCAATTTCCATGTCGGCTTCGAGGCGTTTTCGACCTTCGCGCAGCTCGTCCTCGAGCAGGGCACGGCGCTGCTTTTCGACCTCATAGAGCTCTTTCCATTTCTGGCCATACGCGAACTCGAAAGTGTTCTGCGGCGGGAAACGCGGGCCAACCTCACGTTCCCTATAGTAATACATCAATACAAAATCAAAGCATGAAAAACAAGTCCATTAGACAAGACAAGGGGGCTGGCTCGGCTTAGATCGTGGTGAATATTAGGTTATGGGAAGCACGAGGTTATTTGGGGAATCATTCCTCAATGCCGGTGGCTTCACAGCGTTGTATCAACACGCAACAATTTCGGTATCATTTAAACACCGTTTTCAGTGTAATAACCCATGAGGCGGTAAATAGTATAATTTTGTGGGCCAAGTGCCGGTTAAATAGTTATAGTCGATGTGGGCATCATAATACGGTCTCGCTGGTCGGAACAAATAGACTGAAATCGTTATTCCATAACTTGATGACACCATGAAATCGCTTAGCGGGCGCTCATTGGCATTTACAAGTTCACAAGTCCGGCCGGGAGGCCTAGTCAAAGTCAAATCAACGGATTTTCAAGTCCATGAGTGGCGTCTCGCCAGCGTCAACGACGCAAAAGTCACAGAACGGTACCACGGTTCGGTAAGATTCAGTTGTCTGTTTGTGTCACCAATCGGAGGATCTAGCCGAGCCAGGGCTTGTCAAGTCAATTGGAGTCAAAGGTGAAAATAGTGAAAGGCCGTACTTCTGTAACTGAGGGGTACGGGGCACATTTCGCTCGAAAAGACCGTCATCTTCGTCCTTGGCCTCGACCGGTTCGGCTACCAATGGCTTTGGGCATCTGGAAACGGGGAGAATAACTGGTACAAAATAGAGGGCAAAAACAAGATAGGTGTTTTTTTGGTGAAAGAGGCCGATAAAAAAGAAAATTGTGAAAAATAGCTAATAGCTCGCGCGGCGACAAACAGCGCTGTAACTGACCTAAACACAGAAACTCGCAACACATAGAATTATGAACACGATCGGGAATCCCTATGATCTTTTGAGACATATAGCGCGCTACAAAAGCCTAGAGAAAAAGTACTCACTAGAAATAACGCTCGTAGATGGAATGCGAACCAGTAATTCGTTCATCGACTTCGATACTAGCGCGCGAGTTAGAGTTAGAAACTAATCTCAAAAGGCTAGAATAAACCGTACGCTGTAATCAAGAAGACTTTGTCGCGGATCTGCGCAATAGCTTCGTTGGCGGCAGGCTTGCGTTCGAATTCAATTATTCCCTCGCCGGTGGGTCTGCCCTTCTCGTCGACGACGTGGATGGCGCGTTCGACTTCGCCAAAGTTAGAAAAGACGTTGTAGAGCATCTCGTTCGAAACGGTGTGAGACAGCTCCTTGACACGGACGGCGGCGCCGTGCATGGCGAAACGGACGCGCAAAGTACGACCGCGATGTTGGGTACCATCAAGGGCCTCCTTGGCACTTTCAGCATGAGCGCGCGTATCCTGGAATCGGGATTGAATAAAAAAATGGCACCTAGGTTACGGGAAAACAATGCAAAATCGAAATATTTTAAAGGTGAGGAATCTCCACCTACAACCCCAGATTCCCGATTTCCGGCAACTCAACTCCATCTGGAACGTGAGGTAGTCGTAACGGCAGTCAAGAAGCTGCTCGCTTCCAAAATTGTCAAAAAGGCATCGCGCAACGGAAGGAAGGAGGGAGCAAAGGCAAAAGCGGAGAAAAGAGGAGCCATACAGGTAATAGGCATAGAAAACGCGCTCCATGTCGTCCTTTTTCCGAATGATTCGCGCTAAACACACTTCGGAATCGAAATCACATCGGTAAACACTTTCTGCCGATCCGCGCTCGAAAAACTGAAGCGACGGCAAGGATAGACGCTCATGACCCACCCATTTCAATCACCAAAACAGTAGCAGAAAAAAAACAAGAATATACCATGTTGACGAAGGCGAATCCCTTGCCCGAGAGGTAGCACTCAGCAACTTCGCCGTGCGTCTTGAACAGCTCCTTGAGCTCGTCCTCTTTCAACTGGAAAAAGGTTAATAATTACAAGGATGTGTCCTTACATCGTGCGACAGGTTGCCAACAAAGAGTCTGCATCGACCGGTGAACTTCTTCTTGGGCAGCTCGGACATCAGATCAGATTCGCTCAACGGCTGGCCTGTCAGGTGGATGGTGCGGGAACCGGGTGGACCACCTAGAAATAAAATGTTTATCACTGTTTTTTTTTCTAAAACCAAGCTAAGGACGCCAGGATAAATACCTCGATCTCCACCTCGGCCTCCATCAGCACGGGGAGCTGTGTGGCCATTGCTGGGACGTTTCATATCACGCGGCGGCTCGGGCTTGCGGACAGTGTTTTGACGGTTTCTAAGCAATAAATTAGAGGACTCGATTGCGAACTAACCGATCATCCGGGCGACGGTCTCCACCACCACCATGGCGATCATCACGACGGTCATCACGTCTCACCTCACGCACCATACCTCCACGGCCGCCACCAGAACGACGGTCGGACATCTGGAAAGAGGATGGTTTGTTGGATAAGAATTTCGCGAGAGGAAATGAGTGGTAATTTAGTTATACAAACAGTCATGCGTCAAAACTTTACGGGTCCTCAAAAAGGCAGAAACTACGCGGGTTGATGCCTAATGAATCGTTTTGACTGCGCAATCTGCAAGGCCTTATATCTAGAAAGGGCAAAAAGGAAACGAACGAAATCCAAGAGGGCTAAAGCGAAAACCTAGCGAATGTACAGACATCTTCGGGGAAGCGTGTCGGGGGAACGCAGTATTGATTGCGGCCTTCCCCCCTCCCGGGGCACCAGTTAGGAGACAGAGACGAACAGCTGGATGTGCAAACCGGTTCCTGCCATAAATCGATCTCTCCTTGATAACAAACAACTTTATTGCGACGGCACATATGAAACAGAGATACACGTTAATCACAGATGTACTAACAGACCAGCGCGAGGTGCGTGAAATGCATAATTTTACCGAAAATGACCCAGCACTGCAAGAAAATTCCATTCAAAGAACCAGTTGTCATTAGCTCGGATGCGGAAAGAAATAGGGACATTGAGAAAAGCAAAAAAATCAGCCCATATGGCGGAATTGGGAGTACAAATCGAGGGAATCTGGGTTGCGGAGGGATGAAGCTTTTTCCACCGGGAAACCATTGACGATTTGCTTCACCGCGATTTCTACCTTTTTGCCCGAGTTGGTGTACTGAAAAAATAAGGATGTAGTTAATTGCGATAAAAATTACGGAAATTTAGTATTTTGAAGCCCCTCACCGGAATATCGGCGATCGGGATGATCTTGTTGGGGACGTGGCGAGGGCTTTGCCGCTCCCTAATCGTCTTGCAAATGGCCAATCGAAGATGGTCGTCCAGAACGGATCCCGGCGAAAGTTTGACGAACAGCAAAATCTCTTCGTCCTTTTCTTGGGGGCTAAAAAATATAGTTTTCGATTGATTAACACAAAACGTACATTTGTCTTCCAACCACAATGCTGTCCGCAATCTCGGCGAACGTGTCGACAACGTTGTAGATTTCGGCGGTGCCCATACGTACTCCACCGCGATTCAAGGTAGCGTCAGATCTAAATGATTCAGTCAATGAAAACCAATTTTCAATACCTTCCAAGCATCGTAATCCCGCCGGTCGCAGAATCAATGATGCAGTAGTCGCCATGTGCCCAGACACCCGGAAAGCGCTCGAAGTAGGCTTTGGAATAGCGGGAGCCATCCTACAAAAAAGTTAGGCCATATGAAAAGAAATCACCGTGTCGTTTAGGAAATGCGATGGCATAGAGGGGAAAGGGGTGAGGCAGACGAGCTCGCCTTGCTGATCTTGTATAGCTTCGCCTGAAAAATAGAAAAGTTAAAACGGCTAAACAAATCAAAACCTCGTGGATTGAACGACTTGATCTCGTGGCCAAGGTAGGGGACGGTGCATTGCCCGGGGATGACAGACTTCGAAAGCGTGGCACCCATGAAACAACCGATGATGTCCGTACCACCAGAAATAGACCCGATCACGGCCTGAAAATTACCTTTTTGAGTATAATAATATAAAACATACCCCGGGCGCCAACTTTGCGTTGATGTACCGGAAAATGGCCTCCTTCAAGGGGCTGCCCGTCGAGAGGACTAGCCGAACCGCGCCAAGTCCGAATTCTTTGCCTGCAAGAAATACTTGAAATGCATAATCCAACTCACACAAATTCCGTTTGGCGTCAATCTTCTCAAATCGGTCGTAGAGTTGCGCGCCCATCCCGATGATTGTTGCCTATAATTAAAAAAGGTTCAGCTCCATTTTGAAAACCAACCTTGGAATCGGAAATAATTTTCGGGATCACGTAGTGATCGGGCTCCAGGGGGGACTCGTCGTACAAAATCAATCGGCTGCCAAAAGCCAAAAACGAGATTGACCTAAAAATTCCTAGATTATCGCAGCTTTTGAAAATTCACCAATTCCACATCATCCAACCGCAGGTCGTATAGAAAAACATAGAATCCTGCTGCCGGGCGTCATTTTGGATCAAATGCTCTTCGAGGTGTTTAAGTAAAGTGCCCTAAAATTACGGTCTTCACCAAAAGAACTGTAAAAATACCCCAACGGTATGCACCATAGCTTTCGGCACGCCCGTCGTGCCGGAGGAGAACATTACGAAGAGTGGATGGCCGAATGGCACCTAATTTTAATATTAAACAATTAAGTAAAATCCTTACTCGTTCGTAGCTTGGCTTGGCACCGCTGAAATTGGCGACAAAATCCTCGTACATGGCCAGCTTCTCCTTGCATTTGTAGTCGCTGAGGTTGACGGGGAGCGCCGACTTGTAGTTGATCAGGATCACTTTTTCCAGGGTTGGCAACTCTAAAAAATGCTTTCTCTAGTTTTGCCGATGCCAGCCGCAAAGCAATAAAAATTAAATTCCGCACCGGAAACAATCTCATCCACTTTGCGTCGCAAATCAAATAGCTTGCGCTTGTAGGTGGTGGCATTGACAGTGAAGATAACCTTGGGCTTCACCTAAACGAGAAATAAAATATTCTTTTATTTCCTCACCTGCTTGAACCTGTCGAGAACGCCGCCGGGCCCGAAATCGAGACTTGCGCTAGACCATGCTGCTCCGATGGCTGCAGTTCCAAGTGCCGACACGATCGTTTCATATGCATTTGGCATAAATCCGCACACCACATCACCCTAAACAAAAACTATAGAATCGAGCGGAAGCCCCAAAAACGCCGAAAATAACCTGTCGTAACTCTTATCACTCACCTTCCCTACGCCAAGTGACCTCAGAGCCGCGGCAACTTTGGCCACATCCTGTCGCAATTCTTTTCGGGTCTTGTCAACCGCTTTCAGATTTTCATCTACAAATTGTGTGATACACTTTTTAAATTCTTACCGTAGCTTGTGACGGCAACAAATTCATCGTCATCCTTCCCTCGTAACAAATTCTCGGCATAGTTGAGCTTGATGTTCGGGAACCACTTCGGGATCGTGGCAACGTTTGCTTTGCAATCTACCACCTAAAAAGATAATAACCGAAAAATCCAATCAAACCTCGGAAGCATCGCCCTCATAAACAGCGCCGGAAAACTGAAGGAAATCGCCCCAGAATTCGGGGTAATGCGTGCAGGAGTAGCGGTGGAGCTGATCGTACGAAACTGAATTCATATATTTATGGTTGCGGAGAAAAATCACATATTTTCTCGCTGCGTTTCTTGTTGATAAATTCACGGAGCTTCTCTTCGGCCGAGTCACCGGTCAGTTGTGGCTTGTAAAAGGGCGGCGCCACCGCCTCGCCGTTCTCCGCCACCATCTAAATTCCTGGTTTTTGCAGCTTTTAGGCGCCAAATGGATAGAGAAAAAGGAAAGGGTCTTTGAGAATCATAAGATCAGAAGATTTGAGAATCCCGGCAGCCGGCAGAAAGCCGGCAAGATCCCGGCTGCCAGCCGGCAGAGCCATTTTTCCCGGCTGCCATCCGGCAGAAACCCGGCAGCCATTTCACTGTGTTATTTTAAAGCTAATAAAAAGTAAAAAAATGTTCGGAAAGATTTTTGCGAAATTTTTTTGTTTCGGCTGATTCCGCTCCATTCCAAAATACGCTTCGGTTAGAATCGTAGCGTTTCGGAATTTCAAAATATCAAGTTGACAGGAATGATGTAAAACCCTGCAAACTGCCCAAAAAGCGGGCGGTATTTGGGCGAGTTCATTGGGCAGTTCCAAGGCACAAAAATGTCACGCCACAGATATCGTCTCTCGCCCGTCGCTTTTCGCCGAGAATCAGCCGAGAATCCGCCCGGAAATAAAAGCTGTGAAAAGTGGAGGGTCGGCGCGATGGAACGGGTGTACCTGGAGGGGCCAGACAACTGGTGGAAGCCCCTAAAAGCCCCGGGTTGTGGGTGCGAAACCAGTGGACAAATCGTGGGGGTCGCGGGTCAGATTGTGCCTATATTTTCGGGAGTTTCTCGTTATAGTCGCACACAAACACGACTATGCGTACGCGTATAGTCGATCTATAGGATTCCACACTAAAAAGCTAATAAAGTTAATACCCCTGCGCTTTGGGAATGGGGAACCCTAAAATTCACCAAATTCTACAATTCAGTGCGCACCAAAAATAAAATAGCGCCAACCCGCTGTTTGCCATCGAAAAAAATGTTATGCGCTGGTGGCAGCGGGAACCGGCTGGTTCCGGCAAATCTTGATCAAAAAGCCGATGCGGTTCGGGGGGAGACAAGGAGCGCAAAAGGCAAAAAAAGAACGGGCATTTCCAGGAATATACTTCAGAAAATACGATAAGATTTCTATTCTTTTGTGTCTCACTTGCGAAGGTAAAGATACAATCTAGGAAGGTGAAAGTGAAAGAAGCAGGTGAAAACAAGGCACGCACCTTATCTTGCCTTTTGTAGGTTGTTTCTAAAAAGAGAGATGGATGGAGCGGGATACCGCTGATTTTCGAGGAAGGGAACCTAGTTTTTTTGGAAAAATGTCAGCACGAAAAATCTATGGTGAATGCGGCATTTTGCAGCTCCCATTCCAGAATCGATATGTATATGTCTATGACTTTTTAGTGAGTTCTTCAGCATAAAAACGTGGTGTTGCGGCTACCAAACCGTACAAATCGTACAGAAAAGTGGCAAACCCGGATGTTGGCTGAAATCGATAGCTGCAGGCTCTGAGCCTCGTGATGATCCACTTTTGGTGGGGGCGTTTGGTGGATGGGATGGGTTGAGCCCGAGGTTAAGGCTAGCTGCCTGGCACCCTGCCTATTTTCCCGTTTCTGCGAATCCAAAAAGCTTCCTGTGGCATGGGTGATGATGATAAGCTCAGCTGATTGAAGGAATGTTTTCGTTTCAGACAGGACTTTAAAAAGGCAGCGGCACGCCAAAATGAGAATTTTTGACGAAGAATGTGGACAAAGCTTAAAGTGTAGTGTATACGTCGAAGAAAAGTCCTTTGTGCTGCAACGAACATTTGATTTCCCATAGCGATATTTTAGGTAATTTGTTTTAATAATCACGTGATTTGGCCAGATCCGGCGGGGTTTGACTAAATTGTTGCGATCGGAAGCTTTATCAGTGTGTTCTCGTAAGCACCAGTTGGGTTTTTCTGTTTCTGGAGCGCTGAAATTAAAAAAATCGTTTTGAGAAAGTAAGCTTTGCAAAAATCTTGATTTTTTTGTGCGCATTCGTAGGCACGACGGTAGCGGGTTTTTATTTTCCAAGCTATTTGTTTATTTATATCCTATGATTTTGAAGCCTCTGTAAATTTTTCAAAATTCCTTCTTTTTGTCTTTCCCAACCATCACATCCTGAACAAACAAGAATTTAATTCCCCCCAAGTTTATTCACATAAGATAAACGTTCAAAGTCGTTGCAAGAGCCGAGGGTTGAAAAGTGTGAGGCCCCGAGCTGGCTTGCGGCTTTTATAGAGAAGTGAAGGGGCGTGGCCCCATCTCACTTCTCTGGGCCCTCCACGAGGAGAGGGCCCAACGAAGTTAGACCGGAAACGGTAGCTCGTCCATTTGTGAAAATGCCTTCAGTTGTAAAGTCTCAACACCGCTTCATCGGAGTCAAATAGTGTTTATTCCTGAAGCGGTCCAATTTTGTACAAAAACCAAACGAATTCATGGTCCAAACTGAGCGTGTGGGGGCGGTAGAGGATTCAAAAAAGGGCCAATAAATAAATGTATTGAGTAGAATCTGGAGAGGTGATAACAACGTGTCGATCATCGAATTCAAATGGCATTTGGATGGCTGAGAAGGAGGAGGGGGAATGGAGAAAAGATGGGGGATGCACTCGACATGGGCGAAGCCACTTTGTAAAATATATTGCGATCAAAATGGCAAGGCGGGGTCCTGACTTTCAATAAGATTCGAGGTTTTTGTCGAAATTAAAGGTATAACCAAGTGCCGGCTGAGTTTGAGCGAACTTTTCTAATGATGCAGTATAACTTCAGCATTAATTTTCTGGTTTTTGCCACGTAAAAGCGCTTTTTCCGCTTGGTTATACCTTTAACAGTGCGGGGGAAAGAATAAAAACCAAAAAGAAGAATGGAACAAAGATGTACACCGGATTCCGAACGAAATGCTGGAGCAACTAAGACGTATTTTGAGAAACTATGCGCGTTCGTGCTAACCAAAAAGCATAAAAAGTCAACAATCACAATATTTTTGGGTGGCGAGCTCAATGTCGATATCGCATATCGTTGCCGAGGATGCTGGCCATGTTTCTTGCAACCTCGTCCAGCAACGCGTGCGCCCTAAAAAGTTTGTATTTGGATTTCCATACTTTCCTTGCTAAATTACTGCCCTATTTTCGTTACAAACCTGTTAATAGCGATCTCAATCCAGCAGGGCGTATCAGTGATCAATTTCCTTGGATAGTCCGGACCCCATCCTTTGATAAATGAGATGCGAATCACGCAAGCGTGTCGCATATCGTCGACTCCAACATCCGCCGAAGGGGCTGGGTTTTTCTGGAAAATTACCTTACTTTTAGATACTGCCGAGTGGATATTTCCAAAGAGTAAAATCGACGTACCTCATCTTCATAACTCGGCGCTATTGACCCAGTGGTAGACGAACAGGGCGGTGGGTCCCATCTTGAAGACCCTTGCTGGGCTTGATCGGCATTGGTTTGCAGGGCTTGGGCCATTTTGAGGTGACTGATGCTTTGCAGCTCGTGCTGGCACATCATCAGGTCGAACACCTAGAACATGTGGAATATGCGAGTTTATGCAAGTAATATTTATTATATTAATTTAACGGGGCATTCGTGGTATGTTTTGTAAAGTTAAAATAATGACGGTTTTTCATGAGAAGAACAAACCTTTAGCGATGCTCCGGGATACACCTTATGAACGGCATCTCCCCCTTGCCGCCCACTCTCTCGGTCCAAATAATTTGAAGTCACGAAAAGAGGTTGTTTTCCGAGACATTGCAGCCAAACATCGCCGTTGTCCTTCATCGAAAGTCTGACGCCCTCGCAGATGTACTCGCTGAAAAGGTCCATATATTTTAAATGCTCGCATGTTAAAGCTAAAGGTACTAATTTGTACAACCTACAGAGCCTTGGCTGACTGATGACTTCGCTTAACGTTTGGCAACCCGCCCAGCGAGAATCGGCACTTTTCGAGGGTGTCCATGAAGCCGTCGATGAAAATGTCGGGGGTTTCAACCTGAAAGTCATGATTTAACGGATTGACGCTATAAGAAGACTTATCGTAGTATAACCTACAATTTTTGTCGTTCCAACGTGATCCTTTTCCTCGTAATAGTTGATAGAAGCCCATTGGACCCGTGGATCGTCGGCTGAAATATACAGTGTGTGCCATAATGATAGGGGAATGAAGTTTTTGGCCGTTTTCTCGGCGGTCTTGCATGTACCCGTACAAACCGAATGGTAGGTTTTGTGGTCCGGAAAAATGCGCATCTTTTGGTCTACTTGAAATGCTTTTACGATGCAGGATCACGTTTTTATACGGAATTGAATCTGAATAGGCGAAAAACACAAGTGACAAAATGATAGGGGAATCATTAACATAGCATTTCCATCAACTTTCTGTATGAATAGTGGATGCTAATTAGATGCAAATTTTGGCTGGCTGTTTCCGGATGGCGTTTCGGTCAGAAAATGCTATCTTTGCATCATTCTCTCCTATGGATCTGCAATTAAAATCACTTAGCATCCACTATTCATACAGAAAGTTGATGGAAATGATATGTTAATGATTCCCCTATCATTTTGTCACTTGTGTTTTTTGCCTATTCTGATTCAATTCCGTATAAAAACGTGATCCTGCATCGTAAAAGCATTTCAAGTAGACCAAAAGATGCGCATTTTTCCGGACCACAAAACCTACCATTCGGTTTGTACGGGTACATGCAAGACCGCCGAGAAAACGGCCAAAAACTTCATTCCCCTATCATTATGGCACACACTGTAGTTTTTTATTAAGGAATTAATTCTCAAATCATCTCTGCTAGCTGGCTTTCGATAGTACCGTATAAAAACTCAATGTTTTCTTTGCTAACCCACCGGAAATACTGCTGGGTTCCGGCCCTCGATTCCGCTCCAAATTCACATTAATCTGATGTATGGCCCCGTCCGGGAATTTCTTCGTCGGCGGCGCATACGGCGACACCTAAATGACATAACCGTCTACCGTACCATTCGACCAAAAAAAAACCCAAAAAGGGGCGCAGAGCCGTCTCGTTCATTGGGGAAAACTCTCACCGCGGTTCGATTAAAAAGGCTCGTTTTAAGAGGTTCTCTCGCTGAATCCTCTTCAAATTGTGGCTCAATTTCCAATTTGGCGCGCTGCAAATTGGGAATTTATCTGATCAGACAAGAGGTGGGGGCGATGGTATATTTAGGAACACTGATGGCATAACAGCGACAGACACACTCCGCCTTTTTTGCGGGGGCTTACTGTAAGCGAGAGAAAAATAGCCATGCGAAAGTGACTTACTTTTGCCTCGAATTTGGGGGAGACCATGGATGGTGCTGGGGGCAGCATGACTAGAAAAAGGTTTGTATAGTTTTAATAACAGAAAAATATCATAATATAGAGGTCTGAAACAGATAAAGCTTAAATTTTTAGCTAGTGGATAACTACGAAAAATTCCTTAAAAACAAGATTTTTGTGGGAAAACCGAATAGAAGTTTGTCGAAACATTTTGTTCTAGAGTACTGTAGTTACTCTGTCGTCTTTAACAGCTTAAACCTGCGAATAATTTTATTCGCCTTCTCTTTAAAATTCTCCGTCAAATTTTTGCAGAAAAACACTTACCGTGACCCATATTTTCGCCATCACGCGGTAGGTAGGGTAGCTGGGGAAATGCTAAAACCACAATTTTTCCTTGAGAGAATAGTATGCTCACTCTGGCCAGCCAAGGAGAGGGCTTGAGATGCGGCTGGCATGTTGAGGTTCAGGGCATTCGCAAAGCTGAAAAATTGGGTTCACTATTCTCGAAACTAGGATTAAACGGATTTAAGACAGAATACGGTGGATACAGCGGAATTGTTCCCACCAAAGCTAGTATCTTTGCGCCCGGAATTTTCAGCTATTTCCGAAAAATCCCGAAAAATTCGTAATGCAGCCGTCTAGCCGGCAAGACCAACAAAAATCCCATATTTTCGGGTCCCATTTTCGTGAAGCAGGGGCAGGGGGCGGGCAATGCTTTTCCGAGGGGTTTAGATGGGGTGGGCAGACGGCCAGACGAGGAGAACAGACACATAAAAAGAGAATGGAACGGGGCGAGACAGAGAGAGTGAGAGAGAGGGAGAGACGGGCAATGGAGCTGACCGGAAAACAACGCACACACGCGCCGTCCCAGACGGCCGACGACTGCAAAACCACTACTCTACTGGGCCGGGGTGTCTAGACTCAAAACACGAGCGTAGCCCGTTCAGTCTAGCGCTGCACAATTGGGTGATTTCATGGAACAAAATTTTATTATTATTGGCGACCACGAAAATTGACACGTCGATAATGCAATATTTTCCTTTAAGTTACGCATTAGGCTTCTATTAAGCTAGATAGCGAAAACCATATCAACACTGGAAATGGCAAAATACCAAAAACTACGATACACGATCGGCTGAATCAAAATAGAGCCAACCTGAATTCCCAAACTACGCCCAAAATCCCATTTTATTACCCGCCGAGCCGGCTAGTGAGGATAATATGCCTCACTTTCACGTTTGCGGGTCGCAAAAAAATGAATTCTACCGTAACTACGCCCGAGAAAAGGCTCAAAATTTTGGAAAAATCCTTAACTCTTCCAATTGAAAATAATTGGCTCCTTCTCTTCTCAATACATAAAAATAAACATAAACTTCTCAATTTTGTTTTACAAGTCAGCTTTTCTGCAGCAATATCAAGCTAGGGCTCTCGTCTTCAGCCAGGCCATGACAGATGAAAAAGCTCCTCCGTGACTTGGCAATAAGTACGGGCCAAAGAGGCGAAGGAGGACAGACAGACAGACAGAGACAGACAGATGGCGAAATGGACAGAGAGACGAACAGACGAACAGACAGAAACAGGGGGTGGAGTCTGCTCATCGAGACAAGCGAGAGCGAAAGAGCGCTGAGGGGGTAAAAGATGGGGCGAGGCCGTCTGGCCCGGGATTCCCGTCTGGCTGGTCCCTATTGCTCTCCTCCTCCTCCTCTTCCTCCTCCTTCGTCTTCTATTAACTGCCCTTCTTCACCAACATCCTTCCCATTTTTGCTGCGCAGTTTTTGGCTCAAGCAGACAGACAGACACGTGAGGCAGCACAGACAGACAGACAGACAGACAGACAGACTCAGACGATGGGATGGCCTCGAAGATCCTGACAAGGTTATGGGGGCATGCTAGGAGTCACAGCTGTTTCTAGCGGCTTGCGGCCTTTCGGACTCGTGGTCGCACGGAATTTTTACTGCAATTTTTCTAGATTGACAAATGATCACCGCTCGCTTGCTTTGAAATTAGGACCCCGAAAAATACCATAGTGTGAGCTAATCTATGTCAAAACCAGGAAATTAAAAGAATTGATGCTAGCAAAATGGCATAAGGATTGTGTTGGAGGGGTTGACCCAGGTATAAAGAGATATAGAAGCAGGCGAGAGAGAGAGAGAGGCAGAGAGAAGGAAATAGGGAGCGACAGCGAGACAAACAGAAACCACATGGAAAGTTACCTGAGCTCATCCTTCGTGTCCAAGCAGCTTTTCAACTGTGCCATGTCGAGATTGGCTAAAATTTGGCATTTTGGATTTCCAAGTTTGCACTTACGATTATTGATGCCGAGCGGCCCGCGGTAACCGTTTGGAGCTCCAACGAAATCCATCGAGCGCTTCGTCTCTCGCGGACTCGTGTCGAGCCTGGGAAAAGCATATTAGACGGGATTGACATTTTCGTCTTTTTTTGTGATCCATTCTTGGCTTTAATGAAAGCCCTTGAGCGGGAAATGAGGCCTGGTAAATCCGTTCGGAATCCGTGCGTCAGTATAGGATCAGCAGAAGAACAAACTTCATATTCGCGGCCTTATAAGCAAATATAAAATAGCTATCTATAGATTTTTCTCTCCCTCTCCAGCTCTCTCTCTCGCGCTCTTTCGCTTTTCTTATTTCTTCTCCTATTCTTCTCTGTTCCGACTCACTCACCCGCAATTCAGATCTCCAGAAATGTTGATCAACGCCGGCGTGGCCACCCTCTCGTAGTGGTAAGGATTCACGCAGACCTAAAACTTTTTAGTGCTTCTCTTGCCGCTAATCTCAGACTCACGTTATCTCCTTTCAAGTCAAATCCGCATGCACAAATCGGCAGGTGTTTCAGCTCGTTTTTATGCAAATCCGGCCATCGCCAGATCTTTGCGTAGACGACGTGGGGGAAACCCTTTCGACCGGCTACCTGAGATTGGAGATTTACAGCAGGGAGATCGAGATTATTGAAATGCCTGCCTGAATAGCGAAAAATTAACAAGATGCGTTTATACTAACCTGGAGACGTCCATCAAGCGTCCTTGGAATTGTTACACACGGTCCAGGCTCGTTTCCAAGTGAGGATACAGCTCCAATCAGTGCGTCAAGCTCGGAACGTTTATCTTTCATCTTCCGGATCAACGATTCGCAGGCTTTTCGGCTGAACTCATCGTCGTTTGACTGAAAAATGGATGTTGGGGTCGTATTCTATTTTTTTTTGATTAGATTAGACTTCCGGAACCCCTAGAATTCTTCCAATATAGTTAAAAATTTAGCTAAGTTAAAATTCTATTGACGTACCATGTTGAACTTCATCAAATGTCCGACAATCGATGCACAGGCGTCATTTGATGTTGGCCGTGCTCCGGGGGCGAGAGCTGTTGGAGGAGTTCGCGGTTCCGTGCTGAACCCCCTCGACTCGTTGCTGGACGGGCCGGTGGCCTCGACGTCGATTTTGCCTGGAAAGAGGAGTCGTTTCTGCGGGAAACTATGCTCAGGCTCGTTCTGAAATTCTAATTCGGTTACCACGGGTAAACCTTGCTACGTACCATCATCCTCTTCACTTTTCACACTCCTGAATCGCAAATGTTGCGGCTTCTCCCCGATGGATGTGTTAGGGGCGGCATTTGAGAACGCTAAACGCATTTTTTTTACATTAAATTTCGATCAATAATGATACGTAATATGATTATTTAATCCTACCTCCATCCTTGACAGATTGCCACGAGATCGGGTCGATCGTCGGGTCCTGTGGTGGGTCCAGTTTTGGGTTCGGCGCTTATCCTAAAAGATTCTTATGAACAAGCGTTTAAACTGCAGGATTTTGAGATGAAAATATTATATAATAATGATAAAAGACTGCAGGTTCTTCTTTGGCTTACCAGTGGTGCCGCTTCCTGGCCTGCCGATTTTTGGACGATTTTTTGTGGAGAAGAAAAGGAGGTGATGAAGCTCGTTCCCCGCCAGCTGTCCCAGTCACTCGTCAGCGACCCGAGATTTTACCTAACTTGTAGGTTATCGAGATTTTGTATCATTTGCAAAATTCGAAAGGTAAAGCTTAAAACATAGTTACGCCCAACATACAGTTTACAAATAAGTACGATTTCTAAACAACTCGTTTTGCTATAAATAACTCCTTTCAGGTTACCAACGTCTAAAAAGCCAAATGAACTTTCGACTATTTCTAAAAAAATAAAATCATAAACATGGAACATTTCCCGGACTTATCAGCCAGGAACGCCCGATTGCCCTTTGTTTTGCCAGGCTATAAAGTACAAAATTGGCGCCAGTTCCCTTTTACCAAGCTTAAATATGCACTAAAAGATGGAAATAAACCGAAAAACCCTAAACCCCCAAAAATTAGTTGACAGCCCTATGAAAAAGTGATTGAAGGTGCCATGTGAGTTGTTGTTTGGCACGTTTCCCCCGGGTATTCCCATGGCCAGAACCCTCTCTCCCACCGCACTCTCTCATTCGAGGAGAACGCTGCGCGCGGCCGCGGCGCTCCAGTGGACGGGTGAGAGGAGATGGGGAGAGATCGAAGGAATGGAGAAGAACAGACAGCCCTCTCCTACCACCTGGAAATGGCAACAAATCTTTTTTTGGGTCGGCGGCACGAGGCTGCTTTTTGCTGGGTAATAAATTGGAGCCGCCACGGATGGAAGTTGCGGTTGGAGGACTGAAGAAACGGCAGAATTACGCAAAAATTTAACTTTTAATATGACATATGAAAATGAAAATGTTTTCTTTACAAACAGATTTTGGGCAAAGGTCAGCTAGATATAACAAAATTCGTCAAGTCAGAATAATTCTTAGCTATCATGAATAGCGTTATGATGAATTTTATTATTTTTTGCGGCTAGCCAAAAGTATGGTAGAAGCTGAATACTACCTTCTAGCCCATTTAATGATGCCGTTGTATACTCACTAAAGGATAAAACTGAGTTCGAAAATAGTTCTAAAGAAGAGGAGAAGTAGTATCGTACACGTGTAAAATCCGAACAACTAAAATTTCTAAACGCATCACAGGACCGGATTTCATGCAAATAAAAATAAATCCGGCCCGGATTAGACGGATCCCGGGCGGGATTTTTCAGTAAAAGTGGCTGAATGCACATCGGGCGCTTATCAGATGTCAGGGCATGAAAATACTTGAAGCTCTCAAAAAAAAACAACTACAATATCTTCACGGTATAACGAAACCTGTTTATTTTTAACCCTTATAAAAAACCCGCTTGCGGATTATAAGAGTTCCGGGCGCCAAAATAAAACAAGCTCTCAAAACACAATTTATCACCCCTCGACCAAAATTTAAGTATTTTTAACCCTCGGTATAGCTAGGCTATTGCTAGCTGATCGAAATGAATGTGGTTGGCCGGTGTGGAATGGCGAGAGATTCGTCTTCTCTAGCGACGGCTTTTATACGTGAAATACACTCGGGCTCAGCAGATCTGCCCGATTGATAACAGGACATCGAGCCCAGCCACCAAAATCGAAACATTTATCGTTGGTTTGTATTGTCTGCCAGTGCGATGAGTCAATCGTTACGAAAACCCCGAATTCGGGGGCCCCTGATATCTGATCGATAGTACGACCGGAGTGTAACGGAATATTGATCTATTAATGAATCTATACGTCACGAACACCTAGGCAGTAATGATATGAGTAAGCTAGATGTAATTCAAAGAGAACGAGGAGATTCCGGCCCGTTTCACGATTGATCTATGACGCTTGGTGTCAAAAGGAGTAAATTGTCGACTTTAAGGCTCCTTTAATTTGTCATTTTTACATGGACAACGAGTATTGAAGGATTGAGGAGAAAACATGGGCAATTCTGGCGTGGCGGCGAAATTTTCAGGGTGCCAATTAGGAATCACGTGGAAAATTCCCCCGGGAGTGAAGGGCCGACGCCTTGAAGGAAAGAATATAACGGTACTTTTGCTGATGGTAACTACAATAAAAATTCAAAGGATCCTCCGTACAACTCAAAAACAATATTTTTTTGCTAGCTGACCCTGGCTGTATATCACGCCGTTCAGGGCGCTGAACATTGATAAAACGGGGGGAAATTGCTGACCCAAGCACATGCTGGACGAAAAGAGGAGCCAAATCCGGAAAGTGTGTTTTCGTCGCGAAGCGACCACCACGTTTATGTGCATTTTTTGTTTTTTTGAATCCTGATAAAACAATTTGTCGGGAAGGGCTCGTCACATTTTATTTGTGGTTCTGAAAAATACGGCCTTGACAAAATGTTTATTCATGGGAGGGTGGGATATGTAAAAATAGAGTTAAGGAAATACTGTTAAACTGATGGCTATATATATCCAATCGTGCGCGTTCCTTAGTGGGCACCCGAAACTGGTAATTGCCAAAAGTCCACTTTGCGTGGCACCGGAAGTCGTGCCGCGAAGCGGAGCACTGCTACTGAGCTTGTCACCGTTCCACATGTCTATTCGGTGTAGCAGCGTGGAAAACGAATCGTTTCATTGAAGAGCAGGTCTTATCCTGAAAAGTGCTAATTTAAAGGGAGGGCCTCATACCATCCGGTTCTTTCGCTAACAAATACACAAATGTGGATCTTCAGATTTACCTTGATCGATTCTATCTGAACAAATTTTAGATAGCGCGTATAAAATCTGATTAAAAACATTACTACTACGATATTTAACTTTACTGGGCTCATAGGTAAAAATTAGTTCCCCCACTAAATAAATTCGGAATATTAACCCAACTACAATAATTTCACGTGCTTGGCCCTTGACCTTACCCAAACTGCAACGAATTCCGATTTTTCGACCTCGCAGCATAATGCTTGCCACTCTATGAGCTGAAATTTAGATATCCGGCTGAGCGAACTCCCAGAAACAACCTTAAAAATGTTGCATTTTTTTTGGCGATGGGCGGCATTCTCTTCATAATTCTTGACAATTGTAACATGCCCTCGTCAACATGCAGGGTTGGTGGAGCGACTAATGCGATATGGATAGTGTAGGTTAACTAATATTAAGATTTACGGATGCCAAACTTGTTGAATGCGTAACTGTCGCGCCATCATCGTTGCCAAAACTGGACCATAAAGTTCGGAACTTTTTATTCTTATTAAACTTGCAGTTCCGCTTAGAATTGGACGTCTTTCGAGGGTACATAATGCTTAAATTCAATTTTTTTCGAGCATGAATTTTTCTACATGACGTCGCCGTAAATGCCCTAAAATTCCGGTCCCATGCAGTGGACGTCTTCACGTTGATTGTCCGGGACTCATTCATGAATTCCAGAATCTAGAACAGTTGTTAGTACCGCCAGGTCCAAATATAAACATAAAGTGTAAATATGCCGTTATGAGAGCGCGCGCGAGAGAGAGAGAGGGAGAGAAAGAGAGATAGAGAGATGAGCGATACTTTTTACATGACCTGCATACATCAGGTTTCAGCTCCTTCCGGTGCGCAGCTCCAGCAAAAAAAAGACGTAAATTGGTACGATCATGCGTCATTAATCCGTGTTTTCTTGTCTGTAATCTGCCATAAAGTAAAACCGAATGGCCCACCAATTTTCCCTGTATTATCTTTTTCATAAAGCCACCAGGGTTGAATCTGGCCTGGCTCCGTATTATCCAATGAGAGCTCAATTTGCATAATTCTCCCGAAACGCAATTCGAAAAAAAATGAAAAATGCGCCTTCGGGCCCTTTATATAGACTTTTCTCACCTCCGGCGGATGCTAATTGATCCCTAACAAAGCGGGGGACCGAAATTTTACAAAAACTTTATTATAACGTCGAAAATAGCTCTTTTTTGACAATCTGACATGTGTGTAGGCGTCTCGAGAAGATTGCACATCAAATGACATATCAAACATACTCCAAAACCCTTTCTCTATCGAAATACGACTGGATCGACTCGTTCGACCGTACTAATCGATTCAAAAAATGCGGCCTATCTTTAATCTTCTAGGTCTAAAATCTTTAGCCAGAGCTTAATAAACTAAAATACCATCCTGTAAGTATTACATGTTTGGGATCGCCTTTTTTCCAGGGAAGGCGATGCTTTTTAGTGGAAAAAATGCCAAAGTCGAGGCGGTCACCTGAAATTACGGCAAAGAGTTTACATTTCTATTCGGGTCGAAAGGAAAGCAAACACTGTAATTATTAGAGTGCTATATATGATAGTTTTAAAGGATAAGATATATATATGGCATGGAAAAATGAAGCGTTTGTAAGGGAACAGAAGCAATGGTTTGTCTCAAGAAGACAAGGTGACGTTGCTGACGCCCTGCTGATATTAGTCATCATCACCTGACTGGTCGATATTGTAGGAGAAAAATCGGCAAAATTGCGAAAATAGGCGTGTTACCCTCCTTAACTTTGAATTACAACAGGAAATAGAGATTTACATTTTGCAAGTTATACAAAAAGGTCAATTTTATCGTATTGCAGTTTGTTGCGGTGTCGTAATCATGCAGTAAAACTGTTGCAACTCGTCAAAAATTTATTAAATTCATCGTCGCGTCAGACACTTGTCATTTCCAAAGCAGCAACTGCAATGCGATCTGGGGATCAGGATCTCGTGCACAAGTCGCTGAAAACATAGGTTATATTTAAAAAGGCTATATCTTTTACATATTATATGTTATATTCTTGCTGAAACTGACCCCCGAATATTTGCGCTCAGCCCGAACTGCTTGGCAACATTCGAAGCAGCTGTCGATCGGTCGTTCCGGCATCCATTCACAAGCTTCGCGCACATTTTCCGAAGCCAGCTTCAATCCGACGACCGGCTGTGAGACACACACTAGAATTTCAGCATTTATTAAGAGTTCTGACGCATGATTATAGGAATTAGGTGATTACGGCTACTTGACGTGTAATATTTCCCCGGGAGGCCAGCATACAGGGTGTCCCAAAAAAAACCCCCCCCCCCTACCTAGCGGTCCGCAGTCGATTCCGATTTTTACGATTTAGGTATCTATCGAAGCTCTCGAAAAGGCGAGAAAACAGGAGGGTTGAATTTCTTAATTGCCTTTTTATTTGCCAATTTTATGTCCAAAAACCATGAAAACTGCTGATTTATGCGAGATCTGCATGCTAATTGCGAAATTCCTGATAAAAAATTCTCGGTTTTTTAGGAAAACCTGAAATATCGATAGAATCAGATTAAATCTTAGAAAACGAAACCCGCTTGTTTTCTCGCCTTTCCGAGAGCTTTCGATTGGTATAAAAATCATTCCGATCCGATCCGATTGACGGCCTCTAGAGAGGGGGGGGGGTTTTTTTTGGACACCCTGTATATGGAAAATCAAATTTAGATATCAATTCAGTGCTGGAAAATGAATCTGAAATTCCTCCACATTCTTAGAATTCCGATTTTTGGAAAAGCAAGTCTATTAGAACCCACCGTTCACGGTGCAAGAACCGGGAGGAAGTTGTGGTTTCTAAAATGTGCCTATTTACCCCAAACTACCGTACTCACAGCTGAAATAGCCCAAATCACGGCCGCCAGATAGAGCACAAACTTCATCTTCCTCGGAATTTCCAGAAAACAAAGCCCGTATTGTCGGAATTTTGCATATTTATCCCCACACGTCTTTCTCGCGAGTCAAAACATTGTGATTCATCACGGTCCTGACGGATAGTATCAAAAAACCCCACAGAAGGATTCGTCATTTCCATAACTTTTTAGGATTGGTAGTTTTGGGGGTTACTGTATAATCCTTGGGTAAGAGGGTAATTATCGAAATTGGGAGCTGTTTTGGCTACGAATTTAGAAGTCTGAGAACGGGGGCGGGCTATGCACTTTACGACAAATTTACAAGTTTGCAAAAAAGATTGACTTCTACAGCTTAAACGGCCCCAAAAAAAATCGCAATTTCCAAAGTGCTACCCCTTTTTGCCTGATTTCTTAGTTACGCAGCCTACTGGCCAAGGAATTATTCAATTTTCGATTTCCCCAAAAAATGTGGCGACTTATTCTCAGGAAGTCATATCGGTTCGTGTGAAATTTTCGCAAGCTTATTCCAGGAATCGAGGATTTTTTGAGGTTCCGGCCTCAAAATTTCGTTTTAAAAAAATTCAGATAAAATAGTTGCTATAGAATCCCTATTTAATGAACTTTGTCGATTAATCTTGTACTCCTTTGCTCTTACTCTCTCTTAGTCTCTCTCTCTCTCTCTCTCTCTCTCTCTCTCTCTCTCCCCACCGGGTTCCCCCAAATGTCCCCCATTTACCAGTGTCCATGCTGGTGCCTGGGCGGTGAGGGCAGATAATTGCTGCTCGATCAAAAATGACAAATTTCGGTGGTGGTGGAGGTGCATAGGAGAAGAGGAGGAGAAGCTCAATTGAGAGGGAGAGGGAGCAGGGGCGGGGCCCTAACGGATGCCAGGGAGGGGCTCTGGGTCCCTTCCAAAAGGTCTTTCTCCCCTTAAAAGACCGACATATTGGGGGAGGGGGGAGACATAGCTTATCCTCACCACTATCCCATGCTTCCATCACTCCCCTCCTGGTTTTGAGTGTTTTTAGGGGCTCAGATTTACATATTTGGTGATCACGGGAGGGGTCAGGATGATCAGCTGAAATTTTACGCCTGTCCGATGGACTAGAATATTCATGTTCCTTTTTAAAGAGATGGAAACGGCTAAGGGCTTCTGTAGTCGTGCTTAACTACAAACTACAGCTCTTTCCTAGCGACGAATTTAGCACCAAGGCGAAAAATACCTACTGTCACCATCCCTTTAAATGTATTTGCATACGGGTGTTTCATCCCTCTCTCTCTTTCTCTCCTTCGCTCTCATCCCGTTATTCCTTTCCATAAATTACTTACCCAGTCTTAAAGATTGTTAGAATACATATTTTAATTTTTTTGAGCTTAATACACTTCACGAATCTTCAAAAAATATTTTTAAATAAAATCCAAGCCATCCTAAGGTTCTTTGTCCACCTACTTGCGCAATTTGTGTCACATTTCCTCGGCTGCTCGCATATTTTTCGATAGGCACCCCATAATGGCAAAAGCAGGGGCGTATGGGCAGTATCTGTAGATGACAGCCATGGGTTCCCACTTTCAAGCAGCACCCAGGGGCTCGAGCGCTAAACAACCCCCACTTGCTGCCGGTGCGCCGTGCACTTGGATGACCTTTTATGGGGTGGAATTTGTCTCGATTTTCCAACTTCGGGTGTTTTCAGGGGAGTAGGAAGCTTGGGGCGTCAAGGGGTTTGGGAGTCAAAGAAATCGTCATTAAAACATGAAAATCAGAGTTAAAATTCCGAAATTAATTGATGTTGCTATTTTACAAAAAAACAGAGAAATGTGATTATATAGTAACCAGTTTTTTTGAGTTCTCCTAGGTTTTTTCTTTCGATTTGGGGGGGCGTCTAGAAGCCGGCAAGGTACCAAATTAAGCAGAGAAGGAGCCTTCCAAAGAGCCCAGAGGACGGATCTGACAGTAAAAGAGTCGTCACTTTAGAACTCTAGGAAGAGCCATCTGCTTAAATGGCTTAATTAAGGTTACTCCTACTGGAACCCCCCCCGAAAAATGCCATTTATAAGCAATAAAATTCCTTTAGAATTTTTTTATATTTTTCGAGTAGATTTGAGGCCCTCTGGAAGCCTGCAAGGTAAAAACAAGCATGAAAATTCACTTCCCGAGAGCCAGGTTGGTGCAAAGCTGTACTCACTTTCGCCCCAATTTTTATTGAGTTTTCTGTCATTTCGTGACAACAAAACCTCCCGAGCACCCAGACACCCCCCTTTTTGCACAAGTGGTTTAGCGCAAGGCTCAAAGAGCGGACCCCTAAAGGAGGGGGAACCCCACTTCTTTGGAAAAGGTTCTTGACAAAGCTGAGCGGGAGGTGTGATCGGTTAAAGGCATCGCTTACGGCTTAAGTGACTTTTATTTACTGATTTTTATCGTTTATGTAAATGTCATATAAAATTCGTAGCAAGCCAGCATACGCTGCTGCGAAAAAATCAAAAATTGTTACTTTTTCCTTTTGCCGATCGTTACTATAACTTGGCTATTTTGTAATTTATTCTAGTTGCTTTTACATTAAAAATCTGTCCATCCAGGACCCGGTGAGCGCGCTAAAAGTGCGCGACTTCACCGGTGCAAGCTGCGTGCCGCGTCGCGGGGGCCCGGGGCCCAGATGATCGTCACTTATCTGGCGAATATCGTTCTCCTCTTGCCCGATTTGACGTCCACAGAAGCGAATAAGGTATGGTGACTAACCTCGATCTACAATAAACTAAAAACTTGGCGCGTAAAATTCAGAAATACAAGTTTACCCTTTTTTAGTTACAACAAATAGCCGACCAGCAGCTAGAGGAGGGGGGCTTCAAACTACCACCACGAGGGGATTCTTTGAGAAGGTATCCTAATCTGTAATAACTATAAACTACATGATCCAGATCCGAACCCATCGACTACGACACGATACAAAAGGCGGGAGGGGCAAAGCTTTGGCCCTACCTTCTTTCGACTCCATCAACCGCGAGTGTACCATCAAGAAAAGAGGTAGTGCTATGCTTGATTTTTCAAGGTGTAAGCTCTCCTATAAAGCTAAAAGTTTAATTTTGCAAAGCCTCGCTAGTTCAACTAGTCCCGCACGCGTTCGACTTGTCTAATTTTACCCCGCCACATTTTTTTGCAGCGCCGAAAGCAGCCGAATTTCGGCCCGTGTCGAGCAATCAACGAGACGACGCGGAAGGAACTGCTTCAGGTCCGTTTTTGGGGGCATCAAATAGCGAAGCTCTTGGAGCGGTAAAGGTATCTAACCGAACATTGATCACATTCGGCCTAGCTATCCTTTAAAGGGACCGGCAAGACAAACCACTCGACGTTATTAGCTATGGATCCCCTATGGATTTTTGACAATTTTCAAGTGGCGGCCCGTTGCGTCTCGCGCCTTGATGAATCCAAAGCGAATCCACCCCTTGCCGGCCCCCTGAAGATACTGTTTTTTGTCCTTCCTAGCAGAAGGGTACCTATTGGACGCCAAGGCCATTTTTACGTCACCATCTAATAGAATCCACCCTTACTCTTGGGCCTTACCACCACTCTATCTTCCCCCACATCTTCCTAATGCCTACGATATAGTATTCCCCCCGTAATTGCCAATTATTTTCAGGCAAAAAAACGATTGCCTAATACCCGCATAATGCTAATTTTATTTGGGCGCTTTGCCCAGGCAGCGACCGGGGCCTAAAATTGATGACCCATCGGCAGGAATTAGGCACGTCCTCAGCGTCTATATGCTTTTGGGGTCTATGACTCTCTTCAAACCATGAGGGGATTTGCGTGCATAGTTTTTGGTCGTCTCGGAGGGCTTCGGAGGGGATATTTCGGAGGTGCTGAATTTATGGTTGAGGCGGAGAAGTTTGGGGTGGTGTCCATGAATATCTGGTTGGGATGTAAGAGGGAAATATTTGAGATGAACTTTCTTGGATTGGAAGAACAAAATGTTCCATTTAAATCGATAGTTAGAGAGTGAGAGCGGAGGGGTATCCTGCGAGAGAAAGAGAGAGAGAGAGGGGTAGAGAGAGCGAGAGAGATAGAGAGAGAAAGAGAGAAACTTCCGTGCACTATTTCAATCCTCCAAAAACCCCGGAAGTCCACACAAATACGAGATTCTTCAAGCATCATTCTTTCTTTCCCTACCCCTACTCAGAATCCTTAAAAAGCCAACGTCGTCGCCATCTAATATCCATATATCCTTCCACCCCCATTTTTCTAGATTAACCCTGCCCCCCATACCAGGATATGAACTTTTTACGGCCATCTCGATGGCCATGGGAGCATATTTTCCTCCCGAGGAAAAAATTTACGTCCATCCCCAGCCCACCCCGGCCAATCCACCTTTGTGTTGTGCTGGTTCGGGGGGACAAAGCCTTCAAATTCAGTGGAATTCGCCCGGGGGATCCCCGGGAACAGAAATGATCCACTTTGGAGCGGGGAGAAAAAGCCTAGATTTGGTTAGTGGCGATTTAACGTCTGGTATGCCAAAAACTGGAAAAATTTGTATTTTCTAGCTAAGGGAAAGGCCGTAGCCATCTACCGGCTAAAGTAAGGGGCGTCAAGGGGGTGTAAAGCGGAACTGAAAAATTTTTTTGCGAGAAATGTCTATGCCGCAATTTTCTATTGTTAGTCCACGCAGCAACTGAGGGCTCTCTCTCTCGCTATCTCTCAATCATCACTCGCTCGTTCTCTCGATCACTCTCAAAATCTCTCGCTCCCTCTCTCCATCACCCAACCCAAAAAATAGCAACACACGAGGAAATGTTCCGCAGCCCCAGAAGAGGTATGAGGTCAAGAATCCCGCTCCACTCCATCCCTCTACACAGCCTCCTCCTCCCCCTATTCGGTTCTGTTCTGGGTGTTCACCCGTGCGGAATGACCCATCAGAGAGGGAGGGTTGGGCCCTATAGGTGGGCCCCAAAAGGGGGGATAAGAGAAAAGACCGGATGGGACCCTTCTCCGACCACGTCGCAATCAAGAACCTATCGAGGGCTAAAAGAAGGAAAAGCAGAAGAAGAAGAAGAAGAAGAAAACAGGGGCCCAGGTAGGGGTCCCTCGGCGCGTACACAGGTTCTTGAGGTACTAGATGGTATGGATGGGTGACAAACGTAGGCATGGAATTTACTGGCTGTCCATCGATGTTAGACGTCATCACACCCATCTTTGCAACAGGATCTTGTAGACTTACCCGGCATTAGCATCTCCTCTTTCTGGCGCCCTGCCTCCCACATTTCTGAAAGCACACGTCTTCACCAGCATTTTAATTCGATTACATATATGCGGAAGGGGGTGGGGGGGAAGGAGCAACCCGGAACGAACCGGATGCACCCAGTGGGATTGGGGTTGGCGGGAAGAGCGGCTTTTAACACCCCCCCCCCCCCCAAAAAAACAAAAAAACCAACAAAAAAAAAAAACACCCCCCGGGGGGGGGGCAAAACCTTCCCCCCCCCCCCCGGGACCAAAAAAGGGAAGACGTGGCTAAGAGTTTGGAGCTTTTTTAGCGCAAAAATGGTTATACTTAAATTCCGGATACCTTTAAAGCCCAAAAGTCTCACGGGAAGTATCATTTTGCTTAATAGCTAAATTTTGGCATCACTTTCAAGGGCTAAAAAAATGAGAAAAGACGGGTTTCAAAATTTTTAGCAAGCCAACTAGCCTAGAAAATTAAATATTGTCCGCTTTCAAAGACCCTAAAAAAGTCAGGGGTTAAGGCATCATTTCAATAAAGTCTTACATTGTTTTTCGACTTTTCGGGGATGGTAAGAAACCTCCTCTATTTTTTTTAAATCGAAAGCATATAATTTTTTTCAAAAAACCCTACCCATATAATTTTGGCGTGTAACTGTGTGCATGTGTGTAGATGTCACTTTCAAGGTCCGATTTGAGAGCCTTCCGGTGCATAAAATGCTCTAATTCTCCGTGACTTGGGGAAATCGACCCTTCTGTTTCCAATGGCGCTTTCAGAACTTTGATAAAATACAAGTTTACAAAATTAAGGAAACCTATGGGAACCCCTCCAAACTAGTGGGCCAGGTGGGGGGCGAGTGGTGAGCATGGAAATTCCGATCCTACCTTGTATAATTTTGGCGTGTCGATCTGCGTGTCTGTGTGTGCAGCTGTCACTTTCGAGGCCCGATTTGAAGGCATTCCAGCGCCCAAGGCCCGCGAAGCGGGTTTTGGACGCTGGTTGGATATATAACTTCTAACAGCTGATTTGAGGTATCATTAGGATCGATACCTAACCCTTCCAGCCTTTCCCAATTCCACATTTCCATCCGAAATTCCCGGGCCAGGCGAGCAAGAGAGATGGGCCCCCGGAATTTATTAGCCCTAGAACCATGACCGGTTGAATGGCCCGAGGGCATAAAAGCCAGTGGTACCACTACCCCCTTGCTGCCTGAATACTTGTTTGTGTCTCTGTCTCCCGAAGAGGAGTGATGAGCCAATTACTAGAGACCTCTCCCAACCAATGGCCCATCCACAGATAGATAGCCCCCCAGCCGGGTATAAACGGGTTTGGGTCCAACAGGGGGATTCAGGACACACGCACACATACACGCTCCTATCGGCAAAACTCCCCTTTTCCGCGGTGGCCCCGCTAACACGAGATTGAGGCAGGAACCCCGGACAGAGAGACCGGGGACCACGTGTTTTTTGACAATTTTTCGGGATTTACGGATATGAATTTGGGAGCGAGATGTCTGGTGTTGTTTAATGATACGCAACGATACCTTGCCAGTTACGAGTTACGGTGCCCAACTTCTGGCTGAGTCTCATCAGTTAGGCGTCGAGACTTTCACTGCTAGCTTAAAACCCTACCCGGACGAAGCTGTCGCCCGGCAAATCCAATTCAAGAGGCCAGGAAACGCAGAAAAATTGACACATACCAGCGATTTGTCCTGGACAACTACGGAAAACGACAGGCACGGTATTTTTCACAATGTCCCTTCCGGAGAGGCCGGCATTATGAGTTAATATGCGTGTTTTGGGGCGACGCGATGTCGAGGCCTAGTCGCATGAACGGTCGATTTTCGAGCTTTCTATCGCTCGCCTTTAATTGACTGTTTAACTACCTATTGCTCTTCAAGAAGTTCTCTCCCCTTCACTTCTTCGATTCTTGCTTACCCTTTTGTTTATCCGGAAGCTGTGCCGAGCCCTTCCACCCCAGAGCCCGACATTTTTACAGCCATTTTTTATGGGTAGTTTCGTGTGGCCCACGGAGGCTTCACCCCCCCCAAGGGAGGGCAGGCAGGTATAGCGAGGTAGAGGTGGAGATGATTATCCCTCCCTCCCCTTCTCGGCTCACATGGCTCTACCCCAGCTGATAGCCTTGGGATAGGGCCTGAAAGAGGGGTGTGTGGATAGGTAGAGAACGGAAACCAAGCGCACCCTGGGTGGGCGTCATCTCGGGGGAGGGATAGGGACACGTGGTGAAAATAGCTACTTCTCAGGCGGGGGGGGATCGGTGGACGGAAAAACGGGAAGTGCACGTGGTACAGAACTTATGAAAAATCACTCTAAAGGGGGATAGGAAGCCCGAAACACGAATTTTTCCATTGGCTAGACGACGACAATGACGAGTGGTGTCAAGTCACGCATTAAGCCTGGTTTTAAACTTTTAAAAATTGAGTTGGTGCAAGGATCTGAGTTTAATTTCACTTGTTTTTCGAATGACGCGTAGCTGACGATATCCAGGCGACCCAAGGCTCCATTTCGGAACTTATACACTCCTTTAAAACTACGAAAATACACAGTTTAGCATATTAACACGATATGTACTTTGCCTTAAACCAGGCATTTCAAAAACCCCAGACATGACCACTAGGTTCGAAAAAATTTATTACACTCAATTTTAGCTATGCTCTAAGCTATTTTTTTGCGTGCGTGTGCCCAAAATTGCCTTCTCAAATAGCGTGTTCATCCTTCATCCAAAATGGCCAGCAATTTGTTGAGAACCTAGGAAACAGCCAACATTTCTGGACATTGATCTGTTGCGCACAAAATTTGGGGGTGTCCCCTAGCCAGAAAATAGGATTCGGGGTCCAAAGTTTGGCCGTGAAATCAGAGGAGACGCGTTTAGGGTGCGAAAGCGCCAAAAAAAGAGAAAATTTGGCTAAAATGCATTTTCTTCAGGATCTATTTGATGGGGACAACTATGATAAGAACACTTTGCCATCAGCCAATTCGACAGAGGTAGGGCGTCGCTTCAAAAGTTTTCAAAAATTATGTAAATTTTTCAGGTGGTCGTCGAGCTGACCGTCCAATCGATAACTGAAATCAGCGAGTTTTCGAGTAGTTTTAAGGTAAGTCAAAGCCCGAGGATACCTTTGAACTTTGTTGCTCACGAACAGAAAACAATGGGAAGTTTGACCTTCAATTAAAAATTCTGAAGTCATCCGGGAGATGCCCTAGTTCGAGCTATTGTTTTAGAAACTGAGAGAGACACAGAGAGAGAAAGAAAGAGAGAGATAAAGAGAGAGAGGGAGAGAAGAGAGCTAGAGAGATCCTCCAAAATATCCATAATTCCAGGCCGACGTCTGGTTCTCCCAAATCTGGCGCGACCCCCGGCTCGACTTTCGGGACCAAAATTATTGCCTCCAAAATTTGTCGCTAGCTGCTCATAAGCTGCCTCAACTATGGTCACCCAACGTCTGCTTTGTCAACAGCAAAAAGGCAAAACACTATCGCAAATACTTGATTTTTTGGTGCTTCAGGTCGAAATCCATGCATCACCATCACAAAATATCCTACTTCTCATATTTCCAAACGGAACAGTGTGGTTGAATTTTCGCGTATCACTGCAGGGACCTTGCAAATTGGATTTGACGTAAGAAAAAGTATATTCTGTGAAAGATTGCGTTAATTTAGATACTTTCCAATGGATCGGCAGACTTGTAATTTGATATTTGAGGTTTGTTAAGGCTAAAAAAATGTTTTCTATTAAATTTTGGCCTTTTAATCTGTTGCCACACCCCTTTCAGCGTTTTACGCAACCGCAATCTTTTTTTTCAGAGCTACAGCTACAACACGGCTGAAGTGCGAATAGTATGGCGAGACTGGGAAGCGGTCTCGATTCCGGATCCGGACAGCAAATTACTTCCGGATTTCGAGCTGATCGGATTTCAGTAAGTTTATATTTTTGCTTATTGTGGATGCTTGTAGGATCTTGTACGTTTGTTTCAACATTCAAACCCTTTGATTTAAATATTTATATCCCCGCAAAAACCCGACAAACGGGTGCACCGCATCAGGGATTCTGCGCTGGAATTCCGCGTTTTCACGGCTAGGCCATAACGGAAGGCCATAGAATTCGCCTGTTCGGAAATAGAAATGGGAAAAACACAAAAAAACAAAAAAACTTATAAAAATGTTTCAGACATTCAAGTCAAACCCTGGTCTACACGGCCGGGCTCTGGGATCAACTGGAAGTCGTTTTTCAATTCAGAAGGCTTTATGGCTACTACGTCTTGCAGGTGCGTCCATTTTTTCAAAGCGCTATGCTACTGTACTTCAGGCCTATATGCCGACGTATCTCTCGGTGTTCATCTCCTGGATTGCGTTCTGGATTGATACGAAAGGTGTGGAGCTATTCAAGGGGTCCAAACCTTGGTTTAGCCCTTCCTGCCCGGATTACACTTGGTGTCAGCTCATTAATGGCGTTGACCTTTCAATTTGGTAATATCGTGAAAAATCTGCCTCGTGTCAGCTATGTCAAGGTATGGAAATTTAAGGCTCCGGAATTATACTTTTGTTAGGCCCTAGACATTTGGATGTTTGGCTGTGTCGGGTTCATCTTTCTGTCGCTGGTTGAGGTAATTTAAATGAGACGCAAATTTTAAAATCATGTAAAATGATTAACCTTATAAGTTTATTTTTACAGCTAGCCGTCGTCGGGTTCGCAGATAAAATTGACGGAAAACGGAGGCGACACCAACGCGCGAAAGTGGGTGCCGCGCGGAGGGCTCTTCTGACCCAGCAGGGCCACGTGCCATACTCGCCACTTCATCATACCACATTTCCTCATTCCGCTCACCCCGCATCGGTTCGGCTTTTTGCATGCATTTCAGGATCTGATATTTATGAGTATAGACTGTCTCTATTACTTTTTATGCTTTGCTAGAAATAATTTTGCGACAAAAACTAAAAAACCAACGGCAAAAAATATAAAAATTTCTGGTTTTGCATGAGATCCGAAAAAAGACGATAGGCTACAAACTGCAAGCATACCATTACTAGGGTCAAAAAAACGAAATTTTATAGGGTTTTGTTATTTTTAAAGTTAGTTGTGTTTTTTGCTTTTTCTCAGGGCTGGGTTTACTCCAATTTATCGTTTTTTAGGAACAACTAATTATGCGTTCCGATAGTGAGCAACAATGGCTAGCCCGTCTCAGTGGCCATCGACCAAGCCAAATGGTCTGCAACGACCCGAACGGAAATCAAAGGACACCAACTAATCGTGATTTTATAAAAATCAGCTATTAAGACGATTTTAGAAGCAGACCCCCCACCAACATCCGGTGCCACTGAAGAAAATGGGCATGCCAATCGACACAGAGGGAGTCAAGACTGTGGAATACCACCGCGAGGAGTGAGAATGAGCAAAATGCTGCTCCATCAGGAAGCCCCACATCAGGTCAACGGGGAGAAGATTGATGAGGTTGGCATCGGGTGAAAAAGCAGTCTAAAAAAGATTTTGAAACGTCTGCAGTGTCACTATCCCTTTAGGAGACAAACGATATCTTTAACTATCGCTTTCTAACCAAAATCTGTTTACCTTTAGCTTTGGCGGGCTTAGGATTCATATCGCGAAACTTCTAAAGTGTTACTATCTTTTTCAAAATCCATAATTTTTCCCACTATTCTTTCTAGCTAAAAGCTATTTTTCTTTCGCTTTAAAGGGGTGGGACCAACCAGAATCGACGTCTGCTCTTGGCTGGGTGTCGACAGCTACGAACTATGTGCCATATCTTTAGGACTTATCGAGACGAGTTTGAACGAATTTTGAGGCTACGCTTAGCTGTGGAGACCTAGCTGAGGACGGGTCGATTCTGACGTGGTCTTCCAGAACCTTTCAGATTTTTTCACTCAGAATACCTCTATAATACGTAGTTTACCTTCTAAAACGACCCCTATCACTTCTAAAACTGTTCAATGATATAACACCTCTCAACCCCGCTATCCCGAAAATCATCCTGCTCCTCCTCATAGCTGCTACTTACCGGCGAGAAAGTGGATGAGGCAAGTTCCCCCGGGCCAAAACGAGCCCAATTTCCCCGTTTCCTTCTTTTTATTATTCCTCCTTCCCCTTTCCACCCCCTCATCGTTCGTGTCGTGTCAATAATTGGAGACCACTTCCCTGGGAACCTACGTGCGATCGTGAAAGTCCCTTTGGAGTACGGATCAGTGATCGTAGCGTGTGAAAAATGCGTTGAAAGTGTAAAATTTGTAAGTTTCGTGTCGGTATGTGTATACCAAATGTAATTACCGTATTACTTGCAAAATGCTAACAAAACATATTCATAGCTATTTGAATCTAACAGCAACTTTTCAGATCTCGGCCAAGTTGTTCCCGCTCCTCTTCACGGCATTCAACATCTTCTACTGGTTCTACTATATTGGAATGTCTGGCGGAGTATTTGGAGCTGACGCTTGAATTTTTATACCTTAAATAACTAAAAGATTACTTTCGAAATCATCTTTATTCATTTTAAAGGGATTGGTCACTTTGATGGCCTTTATTCGATTCTTCAAACCTCAAAAGAAATTCCTAGAGAACCGCTGCTAACCTACAATAACCCTATACATAGCGAGGCAAGGCAGCAGAGTTTTTTGTGGATTCAAATGAGCTAGTTACCAATCCCTTTATAAACCATCTACCCTGGAAGAATTCTCATCCGATACGACGGGTCCACCTCCAATCCCATTTTTTGATCTGAACCATCTACTCTCATCTGGCTCCCCGACATTTGCACGCCGAAAATTTGCGCCCACGACACTTGCGCCCCGCAGTTTACTATGGAATCGGGGCGCAAATGGTCGGGGTGTAAATATCGTGACACCTCTCATCTTTCTATCCTTCCCACCTATCCTCCAGCTTCATATCAACACCAAATTTGTGTATTTCTTGCATCATGAAATGTTCTACTTGTTGTATATTTCGAATGGTTTATTCTATAAACAAATTAATTGTCATAAAGTCGTAAAACCAAGGAGTGAGATCCGGGCGTTAAAATGCACCTTTTGGGGTGATGGGTACGACGGCAAAAATACTACCGGTAGGTTACCTTAAGATGGAAAAGGGGGATATGGAAAATATAGAAATTGAGGTTTAAAAATCGAAGGAGCGAGCTGATGGAAAAATCAGAATTTATGGAATTAGCCCGATTTTGACCAAGTGAAAGTCCAGATAAATAGACGAGAGAGAGAGAGAGAGAGAGAGAGGGGGAGAGCTAGTGTGAGAGGGATATAGAAGCATAAAGAGAGATAGAGAAAACCCGCAACGCAAAAGGCTATCGTAAAATAGCCGGAAATCGGTGAACATATTGGATTTCAAAGCAACAGTAATCAGGATAAAAAAAATTGAAAACTTAACGACAAATTTGCATGATCCGCAGCGATAAACACGTGATTTCCAAAAGGCAGTGGGGTAAAAAAGGAATTTCCGGGAGTAGAGATCGTGCTTTTGGAGAGAGATTTTTCTGATATGAATATTCGAATGGTCCTCTTTCGTCTGTTCTCATCGTTACATAGCCACCGCGCCGAGCATCTCCTCGTTTTCGTTGTAGCTAAAAATATATGTATGATGTGAAGGTAATATACATATATCGTAAAGCATCATAATAAGTAATTTATAAAAAAACCCACATTTTCACTTCCGGACAGCAATGACCGTTTGCGGGCTTATTAACAAGCGGAATATTACTACTCCCCTTCTTTGTAGGACCGTCTTCACTCGTTTGTGTAGTCTATAAAGCACAATTATTCAATTTTTGTTGTCACGAAAATTTAAAGATCTCCTTAAAATCCTCACACAAGTACTCGTCGCCCGCAAAAAGTTGAAAATCTTGAGCAACCGATTCTGCTGGCAACCGATCAACTTCTTGAAGGCTTCCCGGTATTCCGAAGAGCAGAGGGCGTACAGGTAAAAGTTGTACAAATAACTGTAAATTTTTTTAATATCTAAGGTGATTTTCAAACCTCGTAGTTTGTAGCAAGTTGCTCAGGGCGCGGAAGACCTGCCAAAATGTCGAGTTCTTCGGCAAGCTGACGATAAAGATGGATAGAAATGAAGCGGGAAGATTGCAGATCACGAAAGTTGTCGCGGTGACCTAAATTACATAAGTTAAATTTTAAGTCTCATGCATACCAATAAAAGGACAGAAATTCGTGATCGATCTTCTCGAGGGGAGCGGCCGCTGTTGTTAGACCTTTGACGTATGCTTCGTCTAAAAATTTAGCGTAATACATGGAGGAACGTTATTAAAACTGTCGAATTAAATCAATATAATTCAACGAGCTTGGCAATTTACGAACCTTAAAGTTTTACGGTCCAACTTTCGCAGTTTTCGGATCATGGCCGCATTTAAGATAACGAGAATGACGATCGGACCCCACCGCGAAATTAGCTGAAAAATAGCGTATTAAATTCCTTTTTCAGGGTATTTTAGCCATTCCAAGCCAGCTTAAAATCTAGGGCTTCCGGCGTTTTTGGATAATCATTAAAACCTCACCTCCCTGAAGAACAGATAGAATTGGAAGATCTTCATCTGCTCGACACTCGTATTCCTCTCCAAACTGTACGTACTGCAAAAATATATCCATTTCTGATCCACTTTGCATGTAATTCCCCCCAAACGTCAATATTGACCATTCCCGACCCATTTCTGCAGTGTGCACGCGAGAACCGGCCGGGGCCTGCAAGGCGCCCCCCGTCCCTCTTCTCCCCCTACCGCGGCGCCCATCCCCGTGGCTTAGTGGTCTAGTGGTATGATTCTCGCTTTGGGTGCGAGAGGTCCCGGGTTCAATCCCCGGCTGAGCCCAATCTTTTGCTTTTTGTTTGCGGAATAGCTTATCATCTCGTCTTCTCGTGTTCTTTGTAAAGAACTACTTTTGAACTTACTGTAGTCGCGTATCGTCCTCTCGCACAACTTTTTGCCATATTGACGGGAAAAAGACGACGAAAGCGGTGAGGTATAAAGATCCGATTACAACCATTGTTCGCTTCTGAAAAAATTGGGATACGTTATAATTTAGAATTCTATAGTTACCTTCGATTCTGAAGAATTGAAAAAGGTGATAGGGTGGCATACGGATAGGTATCGATCCACCGTCATGGCTACTATACATAGCGCACTAAAGATAAATAATATTTCTTTTCTAAAGTTTAATATAGTTACCTGGCCGCTATTAACGCATTAATGATGGGTAATTCTAGATGGGCGTGGTAGAACATAGCAGGGTAGGAACGATTGTCGTGCATGTCTAAAGATGGCATTTATTGCTCTTTTAAAGTTTTTAAAATTAGATAGATTAGATATGATTTTAAGTACGGGAATAAGTACTTACCAGCATGCCTCAGCAAGAATGGTATAAAGCTGAGTATCGATAAGATATCCGCCACGGCTGAAGCCTTCAAATAAAGAAAAGCTGTGGATGGCAAATGCAACAGCGTGAAGATATTCAAACATTGATTCACCATTCCTAAAATTTAATTAAAATGATTTTTTTCTAGAAATTAAAAAAAATAAAAATAAAAACGCTCCGTAATATACCCACCAACAGTCAACACGATTGGCATTGCGACGACATGTGCAAGGTATTCCACCTCGGCCATCAGCACCTCGCCCTAAAAAGATATACAAAGTAAATTTAATTTAAGATAATAATTGGCATAATAATATACAATGAAGGAGATTCCGTTAAAGTGCTACTTACCCCGTCCCAATCCGAAACGACGGCCGTTGGTGTGCTGGCCGTCGTCAGCGGGGAGGCCAGAGTGCCTGAAAAAATAGATCCAATAAAAGTGCTAAGCCATAAATTGAGTCCTAGCAATTTTTATGCATAAATAAGTGTTAAATAATTTTATTATATCATTAAATTCACGTTTTTTTGGCAATATTACGCTGGAAAACGTTTGAAAAGGCGGTGTTTAGACTCAAGAAAGTAAACAAGTGATTTTTTAGTCGAAAAAAGGTGCAACGGGCCGTGCGTAAACCTGATTTTCGCGTAATGTCCAGCTATAACTTATTTCCCGCAACCAACAACCCACCCCCTGTTTCCTAAAAAATCTCGGGTCAACCCATACACCCCCCCGATTCAGGGGTATCCCCCGGGCTCGTTTCCGGTCCCCCCACCAGCCCCAGCGGGTAATTCGATTCTCGTAATTTTGAGCGAGATCTTGGGCGTGAGGGCAGAAATGGCGCCCGCCCAGCACAATGAATTCAACCCGGGTTGGGTTACTACAAACATACGCATTAGAGGCAGGGGGAGAAGAAGACATGGGTCGACGAGCCCGAAAAAAGCCGTGTTTTTCCTTGAATGTCGTGGCGGTGGGAATAATTTACACCCCGGTTAAGCTCATATTACACAAGCGGAATCGTCGAGTGTCCATGTTTTGGTGTTTAGCGGAATAGAACAACTTTGAACATTTTATAACGAGCCGCGGATCCGCAAAATATTGGGACTTTAAAGGAACCGATTTTTCGACCAAAAGTTTGAATTCAAATTTTTAAGGATGTTAGAGAGTACGACACTTCAAATTACGAAAATCACCACGTTAGTTGCCTTTTAAAAAGTCTTCTTTTCCATCCGGCGCAGCGTTACAAAAAATAAAAAAATTTCTCAATAAAGATCACCGCTAATCCGGCAACAAATTAATGTTAATCTAATCCCTAAAAGTAGCAGATTTACTACAGATCAATCCCGTTTTCGAAATCCGGTTAAACGATTACGGTACCCCAAAAATACCACAGTTCCAAGGTCCACAACCTAACACCCCAAAAACCCGCCAACTATTGCCATTTTAGCCCCCCTTCTCCGGACAAACAAACAAACGCCAAGCCTCGGGCCAAGAGTTGCGACTTTGATCAGGTTTTGTGCGTGCGGCTGCAAAAAAAAAGAAAGAAAAAGATGGGTGGGATCGGGCAATATTGGGCCAATTTTGGGTGGCCGGGGGGCTCGGGTTGGGGTCTAACGGGGCCAATTTGGGACTCTTGACGAACAGCCTCACCACTGGATACAGAATAAGAAGGAAGTTGTCGAAGTTGCAGGTGGCGGGGAAGGACAATGTTGAAGAAGAAGTAAAGTGGGTCTTTCTTGGTTTAAAAATCAAAATGCCTAGATTATAGTTTGTAAAAACGGGGTTTAAAGGAGTTGCGAAGTGCGAACATAGAGCCGATCGGCTACGCGATTGGACGAAGCCACGCGGCGAGTCAAATGACCCAACACAAGCTATTTTTGTAACTGCGGGAAAGCGGCGTTCGAGCAAGAATCCGACTTTCTAGGTGATTCCGGAAAGAACACTGACTTTTAAAGGGCCTATGAATCTTCAAAATCAATCATAGTTTCCAAAAACCCGGCTCACCCCAAACATCGGAAGCAGAAGCCAACAGCGTTCCACCCTCAAAAGTCGAAGCCTCCGTAATTCTACCCGCAGGATATAGCGAAAATGGCCGTCCACCCCCCATTTCCTCTTCTCTACCCTCAAAAAGGGGCATCTGAAGGGGATTGTTTGCCGGTTAACCTACCCCTTCCCCCCCCCCTTCGCTACCTACTGACCCTTCCCGGTTCGCAAAAACTGCTCTAAACCTGCGTTGAGAAGAGAAGATAGGGGAACGGCTTCCTATTCTCTATGGATAGGCCATTAGACGCCTCGGCAGACGTTAAGCCCATCCACAAATAGCTGATGACCGCAGAGGAGGGAGGGTAAGGAGGGCGAACTTTTTGATTGGGATGCACCGGTGATGGCTATTTTTTTGTGGAAAATGGCCGTCACTTGGTTAGATGGGTTAAATTAAACGAGAACAGATAGAAAAGAGAGAGAATCGTGAAATTTTTCGAAACCTCCCGGTGAATAAATTTTGCAGAGAATGATACTATCAACCCGAATTGCTTGAACTATCTAGCCAAAATCACAAAACCGTAAATAAGCGTAAATTCAAAATAATATAGAATGGCCCAGAGGTAATCGGTGCCGCCCTCCAACATTTGTTATCTCAGAGGCCAGAAGAATTTTAGGATTCGACCCCCGGAAAATGACATTATTTTGCAGATTTTGCAGATTTTGCAGACTTAAAAGTCTCCAATATTAATAGCTACCAGGGTTGAAAAGCCGCTTCGCGACTTTTCAACCCTGGCCCACGTCTTACCCCATACTTCGTCACTTTGCATAAACACCTGAATTCCTGTGCAGAAAAATGAAAAGCGCGTCCTTTCCGCCGTTATATAGGCTTCCCCCACTTCCGGTGCATGCTAATTGATTTCTAACAAAGAGGCTGAGCGAGATTTTCACAAAAACTTAATTTTAATATAGAAAATAGCTGATTTTTAAAAATCTCATGTGCGTGCAGTCGTGTCATGACCATTACGCACCTAATGACGTATCGTACGTACCCTTAACTTCCTCCTCTATTGAAATACAACTGGAACATACGGACGGAAGTTGCATGCAAATGCACACACACACACACACACAAACACTATTTTTTTATATATAGTAGGATGAAACAGCGCTCATCCATGACCTACAAATTTAGAGAATTCCTAAAACCCTTTGAACCCGTTTAAAAATAGCCTACCGTAGAATAGAGTTGTTATAACTCAAACAAAACAAGGCCTCAAACAATCTTGTTTGAACAACGTTGTTTGATAGGATTTTTGGAGATTCAAATCAAACATGTTTTGTTTGAGATGACCGTTGATCGCTCAAACAAAACAAGATTGTTTGAACTATTTGAGTAGTTTGAGCTTTGTTTGACCTTGTTTGAAATGCATGCTAATTTTGGATTTAAAGCGTGATTTTTCACATTTTCGCAATTTCATAAATTTTCCGTAAAATTTGTTTTTAATGTTTGAATTCCTCATCCATCAAATCCCCAAATCTTACCGTTTAGGGTGCTAAACAATTCAAACAAGTCAAACAATCTTGTTTGATTTGATCCCCTGACTCAAATCAAACAAGGCTGTTTTTTTGAAACTTCCGACTCAAAAACAAACTTGTTTGATTGTTTGAATAATGTTGTTTTTTTGATATAAAACTCTACCGTAGAAACAAATACTGCGGCCAGGAACCTTGCTTTCCCCCAAACCCAACCCTGTACAACAGACAGTCCGGTGTGATCGTAAAATTAATCCCGCAACAATAAATCTGGCTCACAATCCCTCTTTCCGTTTTCCAAACGCCCCCGCCAAAAAATCCTATACTTTCCCCACATTTTTCTGATTACCCCCAAAATTGAGCGCTCCCCGGGGGAATCGTTGATGAACGGCGTTGTCTAAAAGCGGAAACTCTTCCCGATTATGGATGACACAACGCCCAAAGCTCAAAAAGTTCAAAACAAGGAACATGATCATGTGAGTACTGTATACTCTCCGGGGCGGATACAATTTCGAAACGGAAATAATCGGAAATGGGTGCCGGTTGGGGTGAATGAAAAAGCTGGGGCCACCAGGCTAGGGAAAAACACGAGATTTTCACGAATTTGGGGCACGAAATAGGGCCCCGAAAAATTGTAGCCGCTCAGGAAAATTAGTGAATTCGGCTGAGAAATTATTGCAAATTTTGGTTTTTGGGTCCAGTGGTGCCGGGGTGTACCAAATGAAAAGGCGAAATTCAGAAAATCATGATGAAAATCGAGAAATTTTGGGGTTTAGAAATCGAATTAAAATTTGCGCAATATGTTTTGGCCTGAGAGAGAGAGAGAGAGAGAGAGAGAGAGGGATAAAGAGAGCGAGAGAGATAGAGAGAGAGAGGGAGAGAGAGAGGGGGACATAGAGAGGGAGAAAGAGAGATAGCTAACGAGTCTCAATTTGCTCCATGAACCCTCAAAACGCACCGATTGTTCTCCCTTTTCTCCTCTTCGGTATTTGCTTCTCCCTTTTTATTCTGGACGTTTTCTTCCCTACGAAAAGTCACGAAATAACAGAAAATAAGCAATTCTGAACCCGCTAGTCTGACTACCGCAGTTTCCGTAAACAGCCCGTCCTTCGGAAATCCTTCACCTAATTAGCCACCCCACCCCCTTGACCCCGCTTTTTGATGAAGTGGAAATCTTGAGGGCCTTTTCAAAACATCCCGGGATATCCCCCCGGGTCTAAAGGCAGTCCAAAATGCAGCTTCTTCCCCACCTCCTCCTCGACAGAAAGGCCAAGGCACAACAAATTACGCTGCGTCCCCCCTTCATTGGGGACGAGCCTACTAAATCTTCCGGCCCAAGTAATTACGAATGGAAAAGAGGGAGAAAGGTGGATTTGTATTGGTCGGGGGTAATCGGAGGATTTTATGGGAGGCTGAGCCGGAACAATGGATGGCAGGAGTTGGGTATCAATGAACGAATGGAGGTGATGACGCCAGTGTGTGCTCTGAGATTTGAAAGAGACTAGAAACGCCCCAAATCAATTAAAGAGACGAAGACACGCTAAAAATGTAGAGGGTCGATAGGCGCTTTGCGTAGCGATGATACGAGTATGTCTGACTCGTTCTCCCCCCTTTGTTTTCTGATCGTGGTCAAATCTGAGTTTTTTCGCATCGTTCTCCGTCTAATATTTCTAAAGCCTTTTTGTAGCGTACCATCTAGGCGTACGGTGCTATAGGAGCGTAACGTATCCTCGAGCATGACGTGCTATAGGAGTGTAGCGTACTATACTCGGAGCGTAGTGTAATATGCTCACAAAGTAGCGTCCCATATGTAGGAGCGTGGCGTATTTTAGGAGCATATCGTACCACAGGGCGTACCCTACTATGCTCGGAGCATAGCGTACTATGGGAGGTGTATAACGTAATTACGGTGCGTAGTCTACTTTGCTCGGAATGCAACATAGCCCTTTGAATGATTACATGGCTTTCCAAGTCTCGCAAAACATCAAAGTTTGTTTTCTATTTTCCGGATTCTGAGTCGACATATTCACACAAATTTTGCGATGCCGTCTGCCTTCCACAAATCTACATGACTTTTTGTGTGTATCAATCGAGGCGAAAACTTTGACAAAGAGCAAGACACACCAACGTAATTGGGCAGCGAGGAACACACACATACCAAAAAAACCCTACTAAATTACCGCGGCAATGAATAGCCCCCGGAAAAAGCAATAAAATTAGAATTAGGCTGCTGCGCTACGCAATCAGCATAAAAAAGGGCGTAATTTTGATATATTCTTGCAGAATCTGAAGGCTTGGAATCAAAAAGGATTTAAGGCCCTAACCAGAGGGAAAAGCCTATAAACTTACCCATTCCGAAGAAATCACCGAAGAAATACAT